AGCAGGGGAGGAGAGTCAGGCCTTCCCTGGCCTAGCTGTATCCTCCATCCTCTCTGGCAAGATGAGGGGCTTCTCAGGGGATGTGTCTCTCCCCCTTAGAACAGGGGGGTGACAGCTGGTATGGATGCCCTATGAGGTATCCTGGGGGCACTGCCCACTCCAGACTCATTTGTTTACCCCCAACAGGCTCCTCCTGCCAAGGAGATCTTGCGCCAGAGGCCAGCTGGACTGATAGCCAGGGGGGAGGCCCTCTTATAAAGTCCAGGTAAGGGCCATGGCTACCAAAACCAGTAGACCGGTGAGGTGGGACCCAGCCCAGGCTCTGCTGGCACTTCCAGCCGCCCGCTTATGGTTCCATTGGCACTGCTCGCCACCCCAGCCTAGATAGCACTGGCAGCGGAAGTGAGTCTGCAGGTAGTTGAGGTCGGCATTGCTGAGCTCCCCCTCGGGTCGAAGCTGGGGTTCACTGGGTGTACGGCCAGGCACTAGGCGGAAGCTGCTAGCACTGAGGTGCAGGAAGGTGTTGGCGCCGGGGTTTCGGCGTACACAGCGCCCGTGGCCATGGCACTGGGTCCAACTGCAATACTGGGTGGCCCAGGACACGTTGACCACGTAGGGGACCAGCAGGTCTGCTAGGTAATTCTTGAGGTACTGGCAGGTCTCCTGGAGGAAGAGGCCAAGGTTACCAGGCGCATATCTGATGTTAGCCTGTATCTAGGGCAAGTGTCTGCCTTAGCCCGGAGCCCTGACAGACACTAGTGTCTATAGTACGGTGACAGCATCTCTTTCTTTGGGCAGTGGTGGTGTTGGAACCCTAGACTAGGCAAGTGCTCTACTGAGCCACATCCTTGGCACACTTGCTTATATAAATGTAAGCATCGTATACACCGAGTTAGTTCATGAGCCCTTACAGTCCCCTGTCCCTGGCAAGAAGTGGGGTGGAGACAGACTGGAACCCAGCTGGGCAGATGAGGAAGGGTGGAACTCCAGCTGTTTAGGACAGCATTTCCTCTTCCTGGATGGAAGAGGTGGGGGCGCCCTTCTTCTCCTTTAGGTCCAGGGACAAAGACTCTGTGCTCAGGAGACAGACAGGCTAGCCTCAGTTTGTATATCCAGGTGAGAGTAAAAGTGGAAAGTATAGATTTCCCACCGGTTTTGGCGGGTCTCCCTTACCATACTTGAAGCATACACTGAGTCACCCCAGAAGATGACACCGGCTGAGCCCAGGGCTGCACTCTCCCCGATGGTAGAGATGAGGTCCATCTGTGTGGAACGGGATGATTACTGAGCAAGACTGACACCAGACAGTACAGCAGGCGACTGGGACGGACCTGTTCTAACCTGCCCTTAGTGCCTCCAGGCAGAGGCTGCTTTACTTTCTGTGTTTAAGCCCATTTCCTTCCCCGCTTTGGACCTCAGTCTCCAAAGCCAAGAGCCCACAATTTCTCAGCATCTCCAGGCCTCAGTCTTATCTGCAGAATGGGGATGACATCACCTCTCCACAAGACTAACAGAGATGTGGAACAGACAGTAAACTACAGGACTTTCAGGCCCCGATACCCTGAGCATGCAGTGGCTCCCAGAGGAAGGAAGAAGGCAAGGCCTGGAACATACCTGACTCAGTCCTGTGAGTCCTCGGGTGTATGTGGGGCGTGTGAAGACATACACCGGGAGGGCGTGATTGGCATGGTGGGTGTGAGCCACACGAAGGGCCTCCCGAACACGGAAACTGACGAAGTTTCGGCTGTGTGGGGAGGAAGCCAGTGTCTCGTCCAGGTACACGGAGGGAAAGAGTGCTGTGCTCTCGGCCCAGAGCCAGGCCAGCTGGTCGTTCCGAGCCACCTCCACGTCAGGACAGCGGCCTGTGTAGCTCTCCCAGTTCTGGACATAGTCATGATTGTAGCAGTCAGGAAAGAGGTAGAAGCCCCACAGGTGCTGAGGCCTGACTGCCTTGACGTAGCGTAGTGTGTTCAACATGTACTGCCGGGCAGCGAACTCAAACTCGTACTGTGCCTGCTTCACTATCCGGTCTGACGGCCAGTCGGGGTGTCGGCTGGCCACCAGCTGGCGTGAGGACTGTCGGTACACATCCTTCTCCTGCCAGTTGCGTACCCACACGGGCCTCCACTCCTCCCAGTCAATGACCGCCAGCCCCCCGGGCTCCTGGGTGTGAATGTAGCGCTCCACAGATTCCTTGAGCATGGGCAGGTGTGCGCAGAGGCTACCATTCTGGGGCACACCACCATGCACAGACATCCCGGCTGCATCGAAACGTGGATACAGACCTAGCCGGTCGTAGTAGAAGGTTGTGATATTCTGGTTGACAAAACCCTCGTTAGGTGAAGCCTCCACATCGAAAGCCCTAAGGTCCAGTGGTACTTTGTGGCGTGGGGCACACTCTTGTGTGGGCACATTCCACGCTACCACAAAGGGTCGGCCGGTGAAGATGGGCGGCACTGTGGGTTTAAGCTCCACGGCCCACGCTGCCTCCAGCACTAGGGCCAGTGTGATGATGGGACCCAGTCCTGCCCGCATGCTGGGGGCTACAGGAAGTGTCACCTGCCTGGTAGCAGCTCAGGAACTGAAGGAAGTGTGGGAGAGAACAAAAATCAGTCCTGAGGGTTCCAAAGATGTGTAACTTAATCCCGTCTACAACCCACAAACCAAGGCTGTGACAGGTCTGAGAGCTAGCAGGATACCGAAGGGTAGGCGAGAGACTTAGGGACTCTATGAAAACCACAGAGTTCTTTCTGGAGCAGGGAGCTGCCAGCGGCTAGGCTAGAATCTCCTTTAGGTCTGTGTCCCTTCTGAAAAGGGGACGAATCAGGCTGCGGACTCGCTGCCAGAGTCCTTTACATGCTTGTATCCATGTACATGGTTTTACAACTCCTTGAACTCACGCTCCACCTTACACCCCCATGACCCCCACCCCCGTTAAGAAGTCCTGATTCAGAGAAGGAGCAGCATTTGGGCACAACACATTCAGAAGCTGGGAGGCTGTTAGGAACACTGCGGAGGAACCCGTATCTGTGCAGCATGCGCCAAGCAGAAGAGTGAGACTGTCACGACTAGTCTCCTTGCCTAGGAGGAGGCGCCCCGGCAGCCCGGGGACAAAGGGGCAGCGGACTATCCACCGCGGTGCTCATCGACCTGCCCTTCCCACCCCAGCCACCGAGAATCCGTGCGACCGGCCCGCGCCCTCACCTCCCAGCACAAGGGGTCCCGGGAGGAGAGTGGCCACCCCCGCCCCCCGTCTTTGTGCGGGACCCCGCCCCCGCCCCGCACGTGGAGCCAGAGTTCAGCCGGGTGGGGGTGGGGTTCCTGGGTCATTTTTGAAGGCTCCCCTAGAGGTTCAGAGCCCAGTTCACAGGGAGAGAGGCACCAGGCTTGCAACGCCCGCCCTCACCTCGCACCAGGCGCCACCAGGACCCACGCCAGGGCCGCCGCCATCCTGGTACCAGCCAAGCCCGCTCCGGCCCTTCGCCCAGGCACTGCCCCAGCGCGAGCCTCTGCTGGCTCCGCCCCGAGGCCCGTGGGCCCTTTAAGAATCCAGCCTCAGAGGTGGGCGGATGGCAGGATTGTGGCCTCGCGGGGAGGGCGTGTTCACCTTCCTTTCTGCCAGAGTTGCGTTACAAGTTCGAGGTCCCCCAGATCTTCCGTAGAGGAACTTAGCTACCTAGCTGAGAGTTAATTCCTCTTGGAATTGGGATTCCGGCTGGAGTCTTAGCCGCGAGAGCCAACCAGCCGGAGATATTACCCCCACAGTCTGACGCCAGTGGAACAATCCACTCTCTGCAGCTGTCCTCTTAAAGGGATAGAATATTGGATGGGACGGGCGCGCGGAGGGGGTGGTGGGGATGGCATATGGAATAAAGGCTTATGGTCGAGGCCTTGACTGGGAGTAGCTGAGGATTCAATCCCACCTGCCCGGATTTGGACCCTAGCAGTGTGGGCCCTTTGTGTAGTGGAAGAGATTTTGACCTGAGTGGCTCGGAAGGCTCTTGGGACATTAATGATCCGCCTTCTCCGATCCCAGATTCCCTCCGCTAGTCTGCGGTCAGAGGGAAGCCCCGCCCCTTGCCCGTCTAGAGGAGGGGGCCTACTAAGGCCCCTGAGCCCTCCTTTGGCCAAGCGGACCGCAGTGGTTGTCCTGGTAACTAGGGGTTGGGTCGCTGCTTCGCCAGAGGAGCTTAAGGGGAAAGTGGTCAAACCGCTTTCACCAGATCCACACCAGGGCATGCCAACTGTCTTCTCTCCGGTCCAGTCTCTGCGACGCGGTGGAAGAGGAATCTGTCCGTAAGGGGATCCACTCAACTCCAAATAAAGTGCAATTCGCAGAAGTTCGGGCCGGACTTCTGGAAAGTAGGCTGCAGTGGCTCCCCTAGTGCTTCCATTCCCCTATTCTGAACTCTTCTGCCTTGCAAATCCCGTCTGGTGGGGAGCAGGCTTACAGCTGTGCCCTCACCTCTTAGGTCTGCTCTCCGCTGCACGACTCAACTCCCCGAAAGCCTGCGTCTAGCCGCCAGCCCCTTTCCCGCCCGCATGCATGCCTGAAAGCTAGGCAGCGCCGCGGCAGCAAGCGCATCTGGGGAAGCGTGGACCAACTGTATGTGATCTTCCCTGGGCTCACCTGTGCGGGAGTCCGTCGGCCCCGAAGGTCGGCGGCCTCCCTCCTTCCTGAAGAAAGCCTCTCCAGCCAGGCTACTTATGCCAGCTGCTGCCCTATGGGCAGCCTGCTGGGTATTTGATAAAAATCCATTCCCTCCCACTCACTCCCGCCTCACATCCCTGTCCTTTCGCCTCACTTCCTGCTGCCCCTTTGGGCGGAAAGGGCCAGGGACAGGGGCGGGGAGGAAAGTCCCTAGACCCCGTTTCCCTTGGTGGCTGGCTGCCCTTTGCACCCTTCCTCTGCGCAGGATCTGACCCCCATGAGTTGTGCCAGGTGACTGGATGGATATGGGCCCAGAGCTCAAGCGCTCATCTTCTTGGTTTTGTTTCAGAACAGGGTTTCTCTGTGTACCTTTGGCTGTCCTGGAACTTACTCTGTAAACCAGGCTGGCCTCGAACTCACAAAAACCCACCGGCCTCTGCCTCCTGAGTGCTGGGATTAAAGTCGTGTGCCACCACCGCCTGACACACGCATCTTGAAGTTTCGAATGATCCTCAAACCCAGGAAGGTATGAGGGGGCCCAAGTGTCAGTATTCATGGGAATTAACACTATTTGCTGGCTTGTTAGCTAATGGTCCCCTAGAGCGGGTGCCAGAGAAGAAACTATCCTGCCTGAGGGAAAAACTGGCGTAAGGGTTCTTCCAGTAACTGAGTCATTTTGTTTCCCATTGATAGAGGGAAGTATCCAAGGTGTGACAAAAAAGAATGTGACAATGTGTTGATGCCTGTGCCTGTGATATGGGGGAGGGGGAAGGGAAGGGATGGGCAGGGGCTAGGAGGCTCTGCAGACGAAGGGGTTTCTTATACATGAGTGTGTGAAAGATGTGTGTCTCGCAACAGAAACCCCTGAAAGACTAGCAGGGTCCCAAATGATCTCTCTGCAGGTACAGCAAATTTGCCTGCTCTCAAATCACCCTGAGCTGACTGTCCCTCAGAACCCAAGTGGCTCACCTCTCCAGTGCTGGGGTAAGTGCCTCTGTAATAGAAAGCTGTGTGGGAGCTGGGTGTATGGCCTTGGCTGTGGGCCTACCCAGGAGCACCCTTGAATCACTGTGTTGGCTCTCAAGGGACAAAGGCCTAGGAAGCTCCCTGGGGACTACAGGGAAAACAAAGTCCAGGCGACACCCTCTAGGGCAGGGACACTTCCTTAGGCAGCCAGCAGGAAGGAAGGGAGCCCAGCCCAGCCGGATGGAATGGGGAAACACTGCCCTGACTCTTCCATTGTTTATAGCTTTGGGGTCAGTGAGACAGTCCAGAACAGGGAGTTCCCCCAGCAGGATGGTGGTGGTGGTTGGAGACAGGATACTGTCTGATAAGTGGAGCCGTGGCCCCTTAAACAAGAGGCCGTAAAGAGGGATCTTAAGCCTTGCTTGTTACAGGGGATGTCAGTCAGGCTACAGAACTGCAAGTTTAGGCTGTACAGGGTAATCCTACTCAAGACTTGCAAAGGTTTGGCTCTTGAGGCCAGCTGCCCTGATCCTGAGTTGATGAACTCCTTCTTCCTAATTGGAAGGTCTTGAGTTTATGGCCTAGGCTGTAGGCTTAGGCCTAGCAGAGGACTTGCTCATAGCAGACCCTGGGAAATGTAGGCAGAATGTCTGTCTACTGGCAGCAGAGGGCGGAGGAAGTGTTGGGGACAGAGCCTTACGATAGAAGCTGTACACCCTTCCAATGGCTAAGAAGTCAGGTGAGTGTGGACCTCAGAGCCTGGAAGGAGGCCAAGGGCATGGTGGGAAATGTCTGGGTTTTTGTTTTTTTCAAGAGACAGGGTTTCTCTGTGTAGCCATGGCTATCCTGGATCTCACTCTGTAGCCCAGGCTGGCCTCGAATTCATAGAGCTCTGACTGCCCTCTGCTTCCCAAGCGCTGGGATTAAAGGCGAGTGTCACCATAGCCTGGCAAGGGAAGTGTCTGTTTTTATGCTTAGCTGGATGCCTAAGGAGGTGTCCCTGCCCTGGACAGTCTCGCCTGGCCTTTGTTTTCCCTGTAGTCCCCAGGGAGCTTCCTAGACCTTTGTCCCTTGTGAAGTCAACACAGTGATTCAAGGATGCTCCTGGGTAGGCCCACAGCCAAGGCCATACACCCACTTGAGATGATCTGGTATTGCTGGGAACGGAACTATCCCACAGCTATGTGTGGTAGCACTCACCCCTGAGGCAAGGCAGCTAGGGCAATCTCCAGAAGAATCCCAAGTCAATGGAGAGGGGAGGGGCCCACGATGGCTCTACAGGGCCGGAGATGGTGTGTGAACACAGCCACCTTTTGGCCATGGCTGGTACTGCTACAGGCAATGTTCAGACTTATTGGCTCCTAGGGGTGTTTGCTAGCCTGGCAGAGTCCAGGGGCCAGGTCAAATGGCTCAGTCTAGACACTGGGTAAAAAGCCTAACTGGAAGCCACCCTCACGTGCAGGGTCTACAAATGATTTTATTGAAATTGAACAAATAACACAACAGTCTTTCTATGCTGGGGACCACCCTCCCCAAGCCATTGCCCACCCTGTAAAAGCACAGAGCTTCCACAAGTATTTTTTCTTAAAGCCATCTCTATACAGAAATCAGACTCTGCCCCAACATCATCATAGTCTAGACTATTTACAAACCTTCACATTTTAATCACTTCTTTTATGTATTTCCCCCTTTGTATCCTTACCAAGGAGCTCCAGGACTTTCCCTTAGCTGACCCTGAAGGGGTGAAGACACTGTAGGAGAAGGGGTGATAGACTCCTCGTAGCTACTGTCACCAGCCCCAGTGTGTTGCTCCTTACCACTGGGTGGTGGATGGCCTCTCCCCCACAGATGGGGATGTGTGGGTCTGGTGCAAAGACAAGGGAGACGAGACAGAATATGTGGTTTGGGGCAAGTCCCCACAGGCACAGGCATCCATGGCCTGTCCTGACCCCGGCCTGTACCCTCTCAACTTGAGGGAGAGCAAACTGGTTGCGATCAAGAGCGATCTGTCCAGCCCTGGGTGAAAGGAGAAGCCTCCACACAGGTCCCTGTTCTTATTCAACAGGCAGCAAACTGTCCATCTTAGGGTGGGGACAAGTGGCAGGGAGGCAGGAAGAACCAGTCTCTAATACAGGAGGAGTCGAGGTAGCAAACGGCTGAAATGCTCTGACTAGGAGTGAGGGAAGTTAGGGAAGGGAGGCTCCCACTCGGGTACAGCCCCTGCAGCCCAGGGGCTGGAAGAAGGCAGACTCTGCTTATAAAGTGCTGTAGCTTCTAGGAAGGCCGGGTCCTAGGCAAGCTTGGAAGAAAGCAGGTCAGGCAAGTATCTAGGAACCGGGCATTCCTGACCAGCATGTGTCCCGCCATGCTTCTTGCAGATGTGGCTGTGGGAGGTGGCTAACCATTCTGCCACTAGGCCTCACGAGCCACCAACCACTTACTGTTCAGACATATACCAATACCAGTTAACACTGAGGGGCTGCCCCTCTTACAACCGAAGGTTCTGGGCCAATGGAGCTTAGTTTATTCAAGGTGGCGCGGCACCAGCCTGGGCTCCTGAATAGAAGCTACACCTTGAGCCTGGGAGTTTCTTGCTGGGGCAGTGGGTGCTTGTGTCTGCCATGCCACAGGCTCACACTTCATAGAGGATCACAGGGAAATCCACGTGGATTCGGGGGGGATCCAGCTTCACGATGCCCTGCCATGGAAACAGAGGCTAGTGAAGATCAGCTCTGGGCCTCCATGTTAGGAGCCTTCCTGTTATCCCCTGCTCCTCCCCCCCAGTAAGGCCCATCTCTGTCTATGTTGACATACTGATGTAGGCTTTGTGAGCACTGCCCAGCCCCTCACCTGAGGAATCAGATTCTTATGTACCCGCCTCAGCTTGGCTCGCTTCTGCCCGTTCTTGGTGACGATCGTCTCCTCATAGAACTCGTGAGCCAGATCCCCATCTTCATCGTAGAACATGGAACTGTGTGGAGAAGGGAAGAGGCTGGGTTGGAGCCTCACACCTGCTCCTGGCAAGTGCTACAGACCACAGGCACGTGTGCTGAACCCCAAGTGAACGGGCACAATCTTGAACTTGGTGACAACAGTATGCCTGAAGAACTCTCTTGTTGGCGTTGTTTTTCAAGACAGGGTTTCTCTGTGTCGCCTTGGCTGTCCTGGACTCACTTTGTAGACTAGGCTGGCCTTCAACCCACAGAGATCCACCTGCCTCTGCCTCTGTGCTGGGATTAAAGGCGTGTGTCACCGTGCCTGGCTTCCTAAAGAACTCTTTGCTTGGTGCTTGGAGTCCACTGGAAGGAACCAGGGAGGGCAGCAGTGCCACTGTTACTGTGTCAGACCAACAGGACTGCATATCAGAGCACGCGGTCTAGGCAACCAAGCCAATTCTTATCAGTGGTCTGGTGCACAAGGATAACTACTCCGGGAGCAGGCCCTTCAAGTGGGTGGGGCAGCCAGCCAGTGGTGTCCCACCCACGCCTTTAATTACAGCACTCTGGAGGCAAAGGCAGGCAGATCACAGTGATAGAGATCTCTGCTCTATGGAGTGAGTTCCAGGACAACCAACATGGCACAGAGAGACCCTGTCTCAAAAACAAACAGAAGTGGCCTGGGCATACTGGTCTCACTTTTAAAGACACTGCTGGTTTCGGGGCCAAAGACAAAGATCCTGGATGTCTGCGCCAGGAAGGCTGCACACCCAGTCATTCTCAAATGGTTGGTGCAGCCTAATGGACAGACACTGTTGGGCCTCTCTGGTATTTACTGCCATATTTCCATCACTGGGAGTTACCAGTCTCTAGGAACCCACTATGTCCAAGCCATTTTGTGTGAGCCCCTGGAGAAAAAGAGGGTTAGGTTAAGTGCCCTGGATCTAGAGAATCCAACTGGGTGAAGAGCCTGTTCTTTTTTTCAGTGGCCCTACCTTGAACACTGAGGCCTAGCTCTACTTTTCCAGACACTACTCTTAGAGGTCCAACTTCACCGTGCTGAGGGCAAGACACCTCAACTATAAGGTCATTTTCCCCTTAAATCCTTCTAAGGCTTAGAAGAACAGAAGGAACACAAATGCCTTTAATTTGCAGGCTGTGTTGGATGAAAGGAAGTAAAGACTGTCAGAAACAGTCTTAGCTGGAGAATGGAGGAGCTTCTACCCAAGGGACAAGCCTCAGCCAACTCTTCTCCAAAAAGACCTTCTGGGTAGGCAGGAGCTGAATGCCGCTTGGTTTTCCCTTCCCCTTGCTCTGACGGAGACCCAAAATAAGACTGTCGTCCCGATTCGAAAGTAAGCGGGCGTTTCTCATTCCCGGACGTCCCCCCCCCCCCCCCCCCCCGCGGGCCCCCCCCCCCCCCCCCCCCCCCCCCCCCCCCCCCCCCAGGCAGACACCCATGCCCTTACCCGCGGCGCGTGAATACGAAGGGAGGCACCGCTCGGGCTCGAGACCGCACCAAAGACTGCTCAGCGCCTGCTGCCTCAGGGCCGCCGCCCCCCGAAGCGGAGGCGAAGGGCCAGAGGCCCCGAGCTTTGGAGCCGCTGGCGCCCATGTCAGCGCCGCCGGCGCATGGCGGACCCAGCGGCCGCTCCGCTCTCACAGCGCGGCGGGCGCGACCATGCCCTGCCCCAGCCTCCACTCGCAGGTGCCGCCGCCGCCGCCGCCGCCTTCCGCAGGCTCTGCTGTCTCCACGGAAACCTCACTTCCGCTTCCGCACGCCCTGCAGGCTTTCCCCTCTGAGTGGCTAAAGATCTGTCAGTCTGTGGAGTAGAACCAATGGCCACCCTCAAGAGCTGAACAACCCAGGATGCGCTGCCTCCAAGTCCCAGAAGGCTATGGGTCCCAAAGGTCAGCTGAACAGATCCCTCCCAGAAAAGCGGAGGTAATGTGTTGTTTTGGATTTTAAGGTCGAGCTACGATTGTCCCAACGTCTCTGACGCCCAAGGGCCCAGTGGCAATACTCAATTAGGTCACCCCAACAACCCTAAAGGGACCGTAGGCCTGCTCCAGGGTAGGGTACACTTACTTTGTTTTCACAACTGTATCTTTGCAATTGTCACTTTTGCACGTAGAGAAAATAAGGAACTTGCTAAATGTCTTTAGTATCTTTTTATTTTCTTGAGACAGGGTCTCACTATGTAGCCTTTGCTGTTCTGGAACATGCTATGTATAACGGGCTGGCCTCGACCTCATATCCGCCTGCCTCTGCCTCCTAAATACTGGAATTAAAGGAGTAAGCAACTACACAAGGTACCAAACGTCTTAAAACGAAAGCCTTTTTGGTGAGATTTCTTAACGGCTATATCTGAGGTCAGAAGAACACTGAACCGCGTGTTGTGAACTCACCGCATGACACACCTCAGGGAAACAATTGTTAGCAGCTGTACCCTTGCAGTATGTGAAGTGTGGTTGCACCCATGCCTTTGGTAAAGGGGTTATTGCTATGGTTTCTCCGGTGTGTCAGAAAATGGCTTCCCTCTGCAGTAGCTGTCCCCACCATGACCTGAGCCCCTAGGCATGTCTCTCCTAAACATTAGTCCCACTGTAAACCTTGGAAAGGCTGTCTTCTGGATGTGTCAATCACTGTTGACCCTCATTAGGGCTACTCTGATTGTGGGCCCACATCTATAGAGTACAAAACCGGAAAAATTCTTAAATATTTATTCAGCCAATTCTCTCAGGCCTCAGGCCCTGATGATGACTGTCACACCCTCATCCCTTTCCCCACAGGAGGCATTCAGTTGAGGCCACAGAACATTACATACATTCATACGCTTCCATCAAAAATATCTGAGGGAGACTCTGGCTTTGGCATACAAGAAGTGGGTCTGGTCCAGCAACATCTCCCTTAGAGGAGGCACTGATGCACTTCAGGCGCACTGGCCAGGCCCCCCTGACCCCAGGGTGGAAGTCAGAAGGCACTGTAAGGGAAACCCAGACTCTACAATAGTGCCTGTATTATTCTGAGCAGCTACCCCTGGCCCCGATAGGGCTATCCTGAGACTCATTCACGACCCAAAACAATCCTTCTCCATAGATAACAGTCCTCACCCCTGCAAACACAACCTTGCTCTGTCTGTAGAGTCCCTAAGATTCTCACAGCTGAGACCCTGATGGACCCTAAAGCAGCTACCCAGAGTATGACCCAGTACATAAGGGGTGAGGGATGCAAAGCCAGGCCCTGCCATCCCAAAGGGCCACCACCTTAACTGTTCTCTGGGCTCACTCCCTTTAGCAGAGGACCACCTCCACGCACACTCATTCCTCAGGCCCCACAGGCCCTGTCACACTCACACGGCACGCTCTTTGCATTGCCAATTCTCCTCCTGCCACCCAGGGATACAAAAGGTCACCCCAAAGGACAGGCATGCAGGGCCTCCTGGATCTTCTGGCGGCAACGAGAATACTTCTGCAGGATCTGGCGGAGGTGTTCTTCTTCTTCCCGCTGCAGGATGCGCAGGAAATTGTGCAGTTCAGGCATACTGAAGGCATCCCACTGCAAAGGGGCAGAGGAGAGAGACAGGCGATGCAGCAAGAAACGGCTAAGTTGGCAGAGCCTCCTGAGAGACTAGAGTATCATGGTCACACAAGTTTAGGACTGGAGGTTCTGGTATTCTTTTTTATTTCCCTCCTTAACTGTTTTTGTTTTGTTATTTTAAAAAATCATTTATGTGTATGGGTGTATTGTCACGTGTATGTGTGTGTGTGTTTGCATCATGTGTATGCCTGGTGCCCACAGAAGTCAGAAGAGGATATCAGATCCCTTGGAACTGTAGTCACAGATGGTTGTGGGCTGCCCTCTGGGTCCTAGGAATCAAACTTGGGTCCTCTGTATAAGCAACATTTGCTCTTAACCACTAAGCCAACTCTTTAGCCTCCTATTTTGTCTCTTTGAGTCATGGTCTTGTTACATATCAAACGCTGGCCTTGAACTTGCTATGTAGCCCAGGTTAGTCTCAAATATGTGATTCTCCTGCCTCTGTTTCCTGAATGCTGGGATTACAAGTATGTATCACTATGCTAGGCTCGATGTTAGACTCTTGACTAAATAGTGTGTGCTTGGATCCCCGTGAGCAGTCTGCATAGAAAACAGATCCTATAAAAGTCACCTCATAGACAACAAATCAGGATGTTCTCTAAATATCTGTTGTTAGGTGTTCCCCCCGACCCCAGTGGGCTATCAATCAACCCAGGGTGTCATACATGTTAGCAGGTTCCATTTTTCTTGAACTAAGCTACCTTCCCAGGCAGCCACCTTTACTTAACCTGGTGTCCTGTTCCTTTCTTGCTGCTGAGCCTGTGCACGCTAAGCACATACTTTTTCCACTGAGCCACACTAACCCCTGAGCCACACTAACCCCTAAGTAAGAAGTCTTTTCTTTTGCATTACTGGGAATTGAACTGTGGTGGCTAGTTTTAGGTCAACTTGACACAAGCTAAAGTTATCTGAAAGGAGAAAACCTTAATTGAGAAAATGCCTCCGTAAGATCCAGCTGTAAGGCATTTTCTTTAGTGATTAATACAGGAAGGCCTAGCCCATTGTAGGTGGTGCCATCCCTGGGCTGGTGGTTCTGGGTCCTATAAGAAAGGAGGCCAAGTAAGCAAACAGCACCCTTCTACGGCCTCTGCCATCTTCAGGTTCCTGTTCTGACTTCCTTTAATGATGGCTTACACTGTGGAAGTGTAAGCCAATCCTTTGCCCCCCAATTTACTTTTGGTCATGGTGTTTCATCACAGCAATGGAAACCTAGCTATATAGGCTTTAAAGTAAGGGCTAGGCTAATCTCTTTACCATTAAACTATAGCTCAAGCCTTTCTACTTTCTGAGATTAGGTCTCACTAAGTCAACCCAGACTGAGTCATTCTGTAGCTCAGGAAGGCTTTGAACTTGTGATCCTCCTGTTTCAGCATTCCAAACAGTTGAGATTATAGGCCAGGGTCACTAGGCCTGCTAGGAAGAGTGTGTGTGTGTGTGTGTGTGTGTGTGTGTGTGTGTGTGTGTGTGTATTTGTTTTGTTGCAATAGGATCTTGCTATGTAGCCCAGCCTGGTCTTGAACTTTAGGCAATCCTCTTACTTTAGCTTCCCAAGTAGATGAGATTATAGGCCTATACCACCCATTCCAGCAGGTAAAAAGTCCTAATACTTGAAAGCAGGCCTTCATGTTTTCCTGGTTACACCTGTGAGGATTTTTCTTTTCTTTTTTAAAAAATTACTCATTATGTATACAATGTTCTGTCTGCATGTACACCTACACGCCAGCAGAGGGCACCAGATCTCATTACAGATGGTTATGAGCCACCATGTGGTTTCTGGGAATTGAACTCAGGACCTCTGGAAGAGTAGCCAGTGCTCTTAACCACTGAGCCATCTCTTTAGCTCCTCTCTTCTTTTTTTAAAGATTTATGTTAGAGGGTGGAGAGATGGTTCAGTGATTAAGAGCACTAGTTACTCTTACAGAAGACCAGAGTCCAATTCCCAGCACCCACATGGAGGTTTCCAATCATCTGTAACTCAGATTCTAAGGGAGCCAATACCTTCTTACTTCTGTGAGCACATGTACATATATGTACACATATCCTCATGCAGGCAAAACATTTCACACACAAAATTTAAAAAAGTCTTTAAAAAAGAAGATTTGTTTTATGTGTGTAAGTGTTTGCCTGTGGGCAGATATGTTCACTGTGTGCATGGTCTGGAATTACAGACAGATGTAAGCATCTGCATGGGTGCTAAGAACCTAATCCAGGTCCTCTGCATGAGCAGGAAGTGCTTTCCACCACTTACTGTGGCTCATCTTTTACTATTTTAATTTTGTGTATGTATATAAATGTGTGTGTGTGTGTGTGTGTGTGTGTGTGCGTGTGCGCGCGCATTCCTGTGTGTATCTGCGTGGGGTTGTGTGCACATAAGTGCAGGTACCCTAAGGCCAAAAGAGGAAGTCAAATCCTTTGGAGATGGAGATACAGGTGAATGGGAGCCACCCAACATGGGTGCTTCAAGCAGAATGTGGGTCCTCTGGAAAAGCAGAGCCATCTCTGAGCCCACATCTGTGTACTCCGAACTTGTCTTGGCTCACCACGAGTCAGTCAAATCCTTCAATCTTTGGAGAATTGTTCAGCACCAAGAAACAACAAAACACTAGGACAATTCTTCCTGGCTTGTTTTTTTTGTAGCCCAGACTGACCCCAGACTCATAGCAATACCTGTTTCAGTTTCCCAAGTCAATATGAACCATCAGATTTAGCTTCTCCCCAGTTTCTTGGGCTAGGCTCTCAGACCTTGGCTTGCATGTCCTGGAGGTATACTTTCATTCCAGGACCTACATACTCTTGGGAGGTTTTGCTGCGTTTGTCGTCTGGCCCAGTTTCTCCCTAAATCCTCACTTTAGCTACACCACACTAGCTTTGTCTGCTGATAAGAAAATAGGAGTACTCATACTCACATCCACCTCCCCGGAGTCATTCTCCTTCAAGACAAAGCTCAGGGCCTTCTCACTGGGCCCCGCAAGAAGCCGGAGCTTCAATGGCTGCTCATCACCCGATAGTTTCCGGAAGTATACTGGAAAGCAGCAGGGGAGAAGGATAAACAATTACAGACAGGACCAGGTGCCCCCGCCCCTGAACGCCCAGGGATGCAATATATCCCCCCTAACATAGGGAAAACGGCTACAGAAAACCCACCTTGACCATGACGTTCAGTTCGTTCGAAGAGCGCAAACTTTCGAGGATCATCCACTACCATGAATTTGCGCAGCAGGGCCTCAATGACCTCACGAGCCCGTGTTCGAGACAGAACATGCAGGTGCTTGACAGCATCCTTAGGCAAGTAAAAGGAGGTACGGCGCTTCACGGCTGTGCTCCGCCCTGTGCCCCGCCGGGCGTCCTGTAAGGAAGGAGGTTTCTTGCTGGAAGGCACTGAGACAGGACGTACCAGTTTCAGCTGAACCTTGATGAAGCCTGTGTAGGAGCCGTCCTTGTTCTAAAAAGGAGAGAAAGAAAAGTCACACCATGACAAGAGGTCCTATTGCAGGTGGAAAAGGCTAGATTGAGTCTCCCCAGGGCAGGGCCAGGTGTGCATACATCATTGCTCGGACCCACCCAAGAATACTCTGGCTATGACTCGTTGGACATCTGGCACACAGCTGGATTCCTTCCCACACTCTTTTCCTGAGCCATCAACTCACCAGGCTCATGAAGAGATTGCTGTTGATCTGGCCATTGTAATCCTTGATTTTTTGCTCAGTCTCAGCTTGAGAAAGATCAGGGGTCTCCCGCTCTACAGGCTCATCCTAAAAGATAGGACAACGTGGATACAGGGCCCTTGAAAAGCCCAAGGATTTTTTTTTAAAACAAAAAGAAAGCCATCTGGAACAGCCCTTGGAACTTGACTTTTGGCCCTGTCACCAAACTCATACACTGATCCCATCACTGCTCCTGGTTTTGTTTGCTATAGATGGAGACAGCAAAGAAGAGGTAGAATCATTTGGCTTTCTGCTGTCTGGGGTCACCTTAGCACTGGCTCTGGTCCTAAGGACATTATAGAAACATGGAGAAATGAAGGTGCAATGCAGGGACAAGAAAACATGAAGGACTATTAGGGAGAAAAAAAAATTTTTTTTTTTTGAGACAGGATTTCTCTGTGTAGCCTTGGTTGTCCTGTAACTTTGTAGACCAGGCTGGCCTCAAACTCAGAGATCCTCCTGCCTTTGCCTCCCAGGGTGCTGGGATTAAAGGCTGCGCCACTACCTCCCCTTTTGAGGAATCTTATTTAAAGGAAAAACACTCTCTGGGATAGAGGTATAGTTCAAGGGCCTAGTAAGTACAAGGCCCTTCAATCCCACTACCCCCCACCACCACCCCCCACACAATAAAAACCACACCTCCTACTACATAACTGATTCCAGAAAACTAGTTGGGTCGGAGTTTGTTCTGGAGAAGGCTGCCCATTCTCCCACTCTGCACCGGCACAGAACATGACCCACTGCAGGGTGGGAAGCATGGGAGCTGGCTCTCCTCAGTAGTCCAATCACCAGCAGGCAGAGGGGAAAGGTGGTCTCTCTGTTATTACACTTTAGTGGGGCCAGCCCCACATCTCATATAGTGAAGAAATCACTGTGATGTATCATTTACCCTTGACTCAGGCTCCATAAAAGGCAGCTTCAAGCCAGGCTCCAATCTGCGTGAGGTATACAGGCAACTTCCTAGCAAGGCCTGTCCTAGAAGTACCAAGCAGGTAGGCTCTGCTCTTCCCTTTGCGTCTAGAGACTTGGCCCAAAGTCTCTAGTTTTATTTAGTTCTTCAGGGACTGGACTTGCTGGAAGGGTAGGGTGTGGAGATGATTTTCCTCTACCAAGCCTACTTGGCCTCACTACCTCAGTCTTCCTGTTGTATCAGCAAGACCCTGGTTGGAATTCGACATGAGGCTGGAACACAGCTGTGCTCACCACTGACCAGCACCTTGTCCCAGGAGAATTCTCACAAGGTCTCGCCTGGGATTGAACCCATGGCCTCACACATGCTAGGCAAGTGCTCCATCACTGAACTATACCCCGGCCATCACAATTTTTACTTTGCCATTTGGGACTCCTCAGCTTCCCCTTTTTTCTGGTTCCTTAATGGTTGGAAGCCAGGCCATCACGCAAGCTAGCTGAGCACTCTATAGCCCAGTTAGGTACAGACTTAAGCTGCTTTTAAACAAGTTTTTTTTTTTTTTTTCTTTATACACCTTTCTTGTGTTTTTTTTCCACTTTTTCGTAATAGATGGCTAAGGCTGAGTGGTACAGAGACAACCCCAGGCCTCCACACTGAATCTAAAGTCTGGACTAAGGTTTCTAGGGTGTCAAGTAGCAGCCCATCTATAAGAAATTTGCATCGAATCTCACTTTCCTGATGCCCTGGCCTCTGGGCTCTTCTGAGGTCTTTCGGCTCAAGGACAAGTTTTCTGTGCTTAGTGGTCACAACCGCGATATTCCCAGAAAAGTCTCTGATAATTTGGGCCCCATCTAGGAGAATTTGAAGAAGTTCAGCTACTCTGGTACCACACTTAACAATCTTCAAGTAACTCCACATTGGGGCACTTTACAGTCTTCCTGCTCCCTATAGGTAAAACTTAAAAGTCCAAAGCAAGGCTCTCTTACTATATTCCCCAAACCCCTGCCCACAGTTCCACTCCGGAGGGAAAATGGGGAAATTGTCTACATTCCAGGAGCTGTGGACTTTGCTGGCTGATCCAGACCGCACAAGAAAGGAACAGGGTCCCCTCCCAAACAAACTTCTCCCTTCCCGGCGGACTCCTCCTCCACTTCCTATTTCCCCCCGGGGAAGGGGCAGGAGCGCCCAAACGCCGGCTTTAGTCATGGGTGAATAACGCCCGCCTGTGGTCCACCCAAGCTTCAGAGCTGCTTCCCCTGGCCCAACCGGTCTGTGACCGCAAGGGCAGCCTGGGTCCCCAGTCCCGGCGCGATGGACCCGGGCTTCCACCCGGAGCACAGAGCCCTCCACACTTTTCCCGGGCTCGGCTCTCGTCTGGACCCGCCGGGAGGCTCGCGGAGGAAGCCGGGGAGGCCGCCCCATCACCTAACTCTCCAAGCCGCGACTCTACCGGGGAGGGGCGGGGCTCCTGGCCCGCCGCTGGCCCGCCGCCGGCCACCCCCCGGCTCCCACCTGGTCCCGGCGAGGCCTGCGGACGAGCGAGGTCCGCGCCGTGAAGTACTGCTCGAGCTCCGAGTCCGAGTCCTCCTGGCTGCAGTAGCCACTGCTCGTCGTGCTGCTCCAGGTCATCTCGAAGGAAGGAGTCTCGGCCTCGCCCATCGCCGTGCCCGCCCGATCCCTAGTCCACTGCGTGGGGAAGCCTCCAACCACCGCCCCGGGCGCGTGCGTGCGTGTGTGAGCGTGTCAGCGCGCTTGCGCCGAGGCCAGCGCCGCGCGGCAACCGTTAGGTCTGAAACGTAGACGGCCAGAACCCAGCTCTGGGGTCACTGCGGGGGGCGGGGACACCGCGCTACGGCTCCAGGAATGACCTCACCGCCCAGGCATCTCGCCTCCGGGAGGGACCGTGCCCGGGCGAGTGCGCATGGGCACCGACGGCCGCCTCGGGGCCGGAAGCGGGGTGTGAGCAGTGCGCGTGCGCCGAGCCGGGGCGCGCCTTCGCGGCGGCTGCTCCTGCGGGCTGTGGTTTTGGCGTGGACTGGGCGCCCGCACAGACCCGCAAGCACAGCTGGCGTCTCTGGTGCCAGGAGATCCATAATGGGGACGTTCATTGCGCGCGGCGCCCGGCCTAACCCGGAACACATCCTCCGAGGGCTGTCGAGCCCCGGGTTCCCTCCCGGTCCGCCCTCCCCAGGCCCCGCGCTCACCACGTTCGTGTCCCGCTCCAGTGCGGGGTCCCAGCCCAGGTCTCGGGGCCCGCAGCAGTCCAGGCAGACGAGCGCACGGCAACGGTAATGGCAGGTGAACTTGCAGTCTGCAGGAAGGGCTGGCCGTGAGGCGGGGGAGCCCGGCGAGGTGACCCGCTGACCGAGGGAGCCCCTGCCCTACGGATTTGGGCTTGACTTTTTTTTTCCTCGAGCCCGGTGACCGCCCACTGCTACACATCCTGGAGTCCACGGTTAGGCACCTCTGGAAACCTGCTGGAAGGCCTGAGGCGGTTAGAGAGCCAAGCCTGCTCCGCACTTGTGTTTGCCTGCCGCAGCTTTGCCATTAACTTGAAAGCAAAAGCATTTGTCACCTGTCAGATCACTTGTTTACACGAGCCTATTTTGTTGCTTGAGAAAGGGTCTCCTGTAGTTCAGGTTAGCCTCAAATAGCGGCCTTGAAGTTGGTGATCCTCCTGCCTCCAACTGCTCTAGTGCTAGGATTGGTTGCAGGCATGCGCCTGTGTCCGGTACCCATTATCAGCATTTTCCGCTTGCTTCCCTTGACTCCCGGGGACAGCACTCACTGGCCAGGTTTTCCTCTCACTTCTCTGTACGTCCTGGCCAGCAGCCCTTTCATTAGTTCTATCTCAGCTCCCAGATCTAATAGGCGATGTCCAGGTTTCTCACCTGGGTCCCGTCCCAGCTCTGTAATACTCACCTGATCCAGATCCGAGGCAGCACTGACTTGCCTCTTCAGCTCAAATCCTACGTGTAGCACTTTAATGTCTAATAAAGACTTCAAATGAACATGGCCAAAATTTCACTTTTCTTCCACTCCACCCCAGGGTTCCCTGCTCAGAAGTTAGACTGTTTGCCCAGTCTAAACCCTACACTTACCTTGATTTCTCCCTTCTCTCTCTCTTGCCCAACACCCAAACTGGCCTGCTTCTGGCCTCCAGAACAACTTTATTTCCCCTCGTGAATGCTGAAGTACAACAGCTCTTGCTTCCATGTATTATCCGTCACTAGCTGGGTTTGTGACATACTCATGTTGTGAATGAGCTGAGCTGTAGACGCGCACCAGCCTACACTACCTAAATGGCTCAGAGCACTGATTCTCAACTCAGACTGCACCTCAGAATGTGGGAGGCGGAAGCAGGTAGATCCCTGTCACAGCCTGGTCTGCGGAGAGACTTCCTGGCCAGCCGTGGCTACACAGTAAAGACCCCATCTCCAAAAAAGGAGAAAAGAACTGAATGCCTAAAGTCCACTCTTTACAATGGACCCAGGTCTATGAGGAGATCTAGGCACAAGGAGATTGGAGGGTAGAGAGTAGCCTGGGTGGCTCTGTTTGCTGGCGTTCCTCAGGAGGTCAGAAGGACCACTGTCTGTGGCTGTGTTCCATGTTTTAGCCCCTGGATCCCTGACTCAAAACAAACCTTGACTAAAGACTCAACGGAACTCCTACTTAAAAGGAGCCTAACCAAGGTTCTTTTTCTGGGCCCCCTATCATATGTGGGTGAAATCACCCCAGGAATCTAGAGGGGAACACCACGAGCCAATCGTTGGGAAGAGGCGGACCTCGGAATGTAGGCTCAGAGCTCAGTAGGCACAAAGGCTTTTCAGGGAGGGCCCAGGCACTTTAAAGACAAACTTGAAACCAGCACCTCGTTATTCACAGGCCCAACTGTGCACTAGCCACGGACAGAGCGTGACAAGCGATCCACCATTTTCTCAAGCACTCTCCCTGACGGGGTAAGGTAAAGGGACCTGATCTGCAGGAGCATCACTGTTGACCCCGCCGCTGCGACTTGACCCGCGGCCACGGTGCTTGACCTCCCGCTTGGTAGTCGCTGGCTGTGTGGGGCCGCTACTCACGCGCGCACTGTAGGCCCTTGCGCACGACGCCCCAGATGAAGTCTCCACAGAGGTCGCACCACGTGTGCGTGGCGGGTCCTGCAGGCTGGAAGCGGTGGCCGCGACCCGGGACGTGCTGCTGGGACGGATTGCGGGCTGTGCCGGGCGCGATGCGCAGAGCGTTGGCACGCTCCAGCCGGGTACGGCCAGGCCCGGTGCGCCCAGACGGTGCCAGCTCGCGCAGTTCAATGAGTTCGGGCTCAGTCGACATGGCCCGGTCAGGCGGGTGCTGCAGCGGACTAGGAGCTAGCGAGTGCTAAGCGGGCGAGGCCTCAGGGCGGGCCGCGGCTTGGGCACCGCCCCCAAGATCGAGGCAGGGCGGCGGGAAAGAGCAGGGGAGAACGCAATGGAAACCGAGGCTCGCAGACAAGAGTGGACTTGGGGGCGGGGCGGGGCACAGGGGTGGGTGCTTTCCAAGAGCCCCTTCCCAGTCTCCCCTTCCAGTCTGCGCCCCGTCCCCACCCCCCCACCCCCACCCCCGTCCCCCAACGACGGCTGCAGAGCGCCACACTGATGCGTTTCACGAGTCCGCCTTTACTGTGAGAAAGGAAGAGGGTCTCCACATCCGGCCCTTGCTTCTGCCTCCACCCCCCACCCCCACCCCTGCCCTGCCAGTTTGCTTGCTGATGCTGCGGCCTGGTCCTCTAAGTCTGCGCTGGGTGGGGCAGGAAGTGAAGAGCCTTTGTGTGTGTGTGTGTGTGTGTGTGTGTGTGTGTGTGTGTGTGTGTGTGCGCGCGCGCCCGCGTGTGTGTGTCTTGTGGTGGTGGTTTGCAGCTCTACTTCACTCAGCTGTGTGCCTCACGAGGGAGACTGAGGTCTGACGGGGGCCAGGCAGAGTTCCTGCGGCTCAGAGTCACATTCTGCGCGCGCTCTTCTGTCGGCCCTCAGCAGCTGCGACCTTCACTGGGCTCTTGGCGCTTTGGGGTGTGAGGACACACATCTTGCTGTGCTTCTGCCAGTGCTTGACCTGACACTCCCTGGACGGGGTGGCTTGCGTGAGAACAACCCAGTGCTCGTGGGAGGACCCAGGGCGGGAGCTTAGGGGGACGAAGGTCCCAGGACCGCCTCACCTGCAGCAGTACCACACACTCTGGCACCTGGAGCAGCGCTTGGTGGCCTCTGCATTGCAGTAGGCACAGCGGGGCCTCTCTGGAGCTACCGCCTCCAGGACGTCCAGCCTGTAGGTTTCGGCCCACCTGGGAGAGGGATCAAGAAGATCTGGATGCACCTGACAGGCAGGGGCACGGAAGCATTCCCACCGCGGCCAAGGCTTCATCGGCCTCTGCAGGCCTCGGCACTCAGCAGACCGTACCTCTGTGCCTGGAGACGAAGATCCTTTTCGGAGGGGCTGAATACGTGCTGAAGCTGGTGCTTGGCAATGGCCTGCCACTTGCCTTTGTTCTCCCGCTCCAGCCGATCCCAGATTTCCGGGATCTAGGAGAATGGAATGGAGACTGGAAGAAAGGAGCTGGCAGAGTGGACTGCGGCCCTAACTTTCCAGGTGCTTACCTGTTCCAACACTAGGTCCTTCTTAGGGGGCTGGGTTTCAACCAGGGCCAGGCGGGCTAGGAAACCCTTCAGATCGGCAAGGTTGGGCAGCTGGTCAAGAAGCGTGTCCGTGAGGAAGGACTGAAGCTGTAAGGTTTCAGGGAAGCCACTGTGAAACAGGTCCTGGCCAGAGGGCCAAGAGACAAGGAGTCCCCAAGTCGGACTGAGGGATGCTTGGACGGTTTACACCTGCCTCACCAGCCCCCAGGTCACCTGAAGCCCAAGATGTGGAAAGAGGACGGGGACAGGCAGGGATGCTGTAGGGGTAGGGCAGGGGCAGTGGGGGATGGGCCGGGTCGCTGAGCTCCCCACCTTAAGCAGCTGTCCCTTGGCAAAGCTGGTAAGGCAGTAGCGGTCTTGGGCCTCAGGGCTGAGCAGTAGATTGTACAGGGCGATCCACACTTGCCCATCCAGCTTGTTCAGCTTTTGCTGCTCAGAGGGAGGCACTGTCTGCCAGCGGCCACTCTCAAATTGCTGCAGCTTGCCTGGGGAGGAGAACCAGCTCACTGGAGGCAGGTGTTGCACTCTGAGTGTGTGGGACCGGAGGGCTGTCCATGGCTTGGCAAGGTTAGAAAGCCAGGGCCACCAGACATGTCGGAACAAGGTTGAGTCCTGGATAAATGACCCACAGGACTTGGCTGCCTCAGAGTAAAAAATCTAGCCCCATCTCAGGTGAGACATGCTGGCATCCTCAGTGTGCTCCCGTTAATCCTGAAGGGAGTTCTGGTGAAAAGGTTAAATTAACAGAACTCTATGTTGTTTCTCAGACGCCATCCAAGGTTAGCTTGTCCCTGGAGTACCTTGGTTCCCACCCTTAAGTTCTGAGAAAAAAAACAAAAAACAATGTTCTCAGCAGCCTACAGCTAGACACAGCAACTGAGGCAGACCAATAAAGACCGGGTCAGTTAAGAAAAAAAATTGTTCCCAGGGTCTCAGTGTTCCTCTCAGCAAGCTGTTCCTCTCTGTGGTTTGGCCAGGTGCTGCTAACCAACTAGGTCAAAGTGAATTTTATTCCTTTACATTTTGTCCAGTCATGTAACGCTAAGGCTTGGAAGCCCCTGCTTATGGGTTTTCCCTTTAAAAACCCCTGTTCCCTTGGAACTGGCTGTCACTCTCCCAACCTGCTGTGTCAGAAAGGATTGTGACCCAAGCTCGAGCTTGAATAAAGACCCTTATGTGTTTTGCATAGGACTGGTGTTCCTGGTGGTCTGGGGGGGGTGTCTCATGATCTAGCAATAACACTGGAAGCAGCCAGTGAGGCAGGTGGGTGGGCGGGGGGCGCTCACCTCCTTCCCGCCGGCTCCAGGGGCTGTGCTCCAGCAGCTCCACCAGCAGGCAGGGCAAGTTGTGAGTACTGAGCATGCGGTTCAAGGTACTCAGGGAAAGGCTAGGGGTAAGGTGGGAGGGAGTGGGGGGTCAGCAGAGGCTACAGGACACGTCTTGCAGCCCATTGTTGTGTGCCCCAGACCCTGGAGGGTAGCCCACCTATCCACGCAATCTGTGATGTACCGAAGCACTGAGAGGGCTTTCAGCGAGATCTCAAATTCCATCATCTCTGCCTGTTTCTGCAGCTCCTGGGGTAGGGGAAGGGGCACAGGTGCACAGTATTGACCCCCGCCTGCTGAGGCCTGAGAACTCGCACCCAGGTTTCACTAAGCCCAGGAAACCTTAGCTTACTTGCATAGGGGTACTGTTCTGGGACCAGTCCTCTTCAGACGGGTCAGGATAGCTAGTCCTGGCCACCAGCAGTATCAGCTTGCGGTGGCAATAGTCCACTAGGTCCAAGACCTTGTCATCCGCTGACTCACACACCTCCTGGGGGTTCAGGGAGGGGATATTTCTGAGTTTTGGTGCCCTCCCTCCGCCACAGACACACCCCACACCAGGCTCTGGGCTTGCGGCGGGAGCGTCTCACCTTGTGGAAGAACACCGTCTCTAGGAGGTTTATGATGGAGGCCTCGTGGTGAACCTGTGGAAGAGGACGGGGCTGGGCTGTGAGGGAGGGACGGGGCTGGCAGCTGCCGCTCGTGGCTTGGGACCCTCCGAAGGCCCAGCTCACCACCATGTATATGGGGAAGGTGTTCTGGGGCTTGAAGTCCTCCAGCCGGCACAGCACTGGGAACACCTTCTGTTTCCACATCTCCACCGCAATCAGCTCCTCCACCAGCGTCGGGATCTGCGAAGGGCGGGAGGAGGAACAGGGGTGAGGGGGACTTACCCAGCCTCAACAGCTCTCCAATCCCTGCGTTAGCCCAGCTTAGCTCTCCAACTCCCTTGGGCCGTTAGGCTCTCTCAGGCTCCAGAAGTTCCCTCATAGGCCTTCATTTCTGGTTGCTTCCATATCTCTGAAGGGACATCGGCCGTCTCCACTCAATGATCTTCACAGCCCTCCTGTACCTCGTCCCACCCTTTCCATCTAGGCATCCGTTTGGGGCCAGCTCCCCTCTTCTTGTCCTCTCTCTGGCCTTCGTCACCTGGCCTGCCAAGGTGTTTGTGTGCCTTGGCCGCACTCTTACTTAGGCCCTTTACTGTGTCCTATTCCTAGAGCCAGTCCTAGGGGAAGCCTTTTTCCATGCACCAATGCCCACCGTCTGGCCAGGCGTCACCCGTTTTGAAAGGCCCACTTCCTCTTTAGTGAGGACCTCCTTTGTCCTCACAGTCAATCCAGTCTGATGGGGAGCACTTGGGTCTAGGACCCAGGACTGTCTCCCTAACTAACCCTCGGATGTGCCGAGGGCACGGTAGGAGATGTTGCCAGGTGTAGCCATGCATGCCTGCACGTGGGAGGCAGAAGCAGGAAGGTGGTGCTCTAACGGCAGCCTGGGCTACAGACCAACACTTTATCTCAAAACAAAACAGACGTGACACTCCTTCTTTCCCGCTTAGGAACGACAGGCACACCGGGCCAGAAGGAAGAACAGGCGCCCAGTGTCCCCCGTAGGGTAGGAAGGCAGGAGAGCCGCATGTGACCTTGACGTACCTTCCCGTGGGTGACCAGCAGTTCCTGGATGGGCTCGCCCTGGCTGACGGTGGCATCAAGAATGGCTTGCATGTTGAGCTTCTCCAGGCTTTCATGCTGCTTATTCCACCTGCCCCCGAAGGGAAGTGCGTTCACTGGGCGTACAAATGTGCAGCCGGGGGTGGGCGGGCGTGGGGCCTGGAGCCTACCGAGGCCTGCCACGAGCCTGCCCTGAGGCCAGAGGGACAAGGAAAAGCTTTCCCTCCCCACCTGGAGGCCTGTCCACCCTGGGCGACCCCTTCTCAGGTGTCATTTCCAAGCTCTTCCGCTAACCGACGGGGGGGGGGGGGAGACCGCCCCTGGCGCTGCCACCTCACCCTTCCGATCCCATCTCCCGCAGCTGGAAGCTGCGCAGGCCCTGCACCAGCACGTCAGCCTCCCCAGGCAGCAGCAACTCCAGGTCGCCCATGGCAGGGGCCAGGGGCAGCAGTCGGAATGGGGGAAACCAGAACCCTGAGGGACGCCAGACGCCAGACGCCAGCGGCGGGACCAGAGTCTTGGGACAGGACAGTTACTTGCTGAGCCGTTGAGGCGCGCGGTCCTCGTCGCCATGGAAACGAGGGAGCCTAGCGCCTGCGTAATGTTGTCCTGATGGCACGCTTGCCACGCCCACCTCACCGCCAAGGAGCGGGCCCAGACTCGGGACACACTCGCCACACCTCCCCAAGCGCCTGCCTAGCTGCGAACGAACCGGGCTCCTCAGGGAATCCTGCAGCTGCTCTGTCCTAGCGGCTCCTGGGGATAGCTCCGGCGGTTTCCGCCGTCCAGGCTTCGATTTATTTTTTGAGGACAGAGCCTTACTTTGTGACCCAGGCTGGCCTGGATCTCCCTATTTATACCACACTGGCCTCTAAGTCGTAGCGATCCCCCAGCCTCTGCTCTGTCTCTTTAGACATGAAATTAAGGCACGCGTCACCACGCTCAGCCGAGCAGCCAAGAATCCTGAAGATGTACACCTAACATTTCTCCCTCGGGGATGGCTCTGTGCCTACCTTTAGCACCGAAAATACAGACCACAGCGGCTTATTAGCTGCTCTGAAAGATCCACCCCTCGCCCTCTCTCCCGTCCCCGTGTTTCCCCTACCCCTCCCCTTTTAGGTTTATTTTATCCTTAAGCTGTTTGCGTGTGTCTCTGTACGTGTGCATGAGTGTGCAGGTGCCCGTGGAGGCCCTGGGCCTTGGGTGTCTAGCGCTGGAGTTATAGGATCCACGTGGGTTCTGCAAGAGCGGAAGTGCTCTTAAGCGCCGAGCTGTCTCTCCAGCACCCTCTCCGCTTTCTCTGAGACAGGGTCTCTACACAGCCGAGGCCGACACACGGAGCTCACTATAGAGCCAGGGATGGTCTAAATTTTCCTTCTTCTTGGTCAGCTTTCCCAAGTGTTGGGATTCAGGCGTGCGCCACTGTGCGTGTTTTCCACGTTCCAACCTCACGCGCTTCCCCTGACTCCTTATACGCTCCTTTGGCTGTTTTGAGACAGGGTCTCACTGTGTTCCCCGGGGGCTGGCCTTAAACTCATTAAATAGTCCAAGCTGCCTTGAACGGGAAGCAGTTAGTTGTCTTGTATCAGCCTCCTCGCGTCAGCCTGACAAGCATGTGCCACCACACTGGCCCTTGCCTAATTTCTTCTGGAATAGTCTTACTCCTTCAAGGTTCAGCCTAAGTCACCCAGGTCTTTCTTGGCAATCCAACCCAGGACAATTTTGACTCCCATCCCAGGATATTATGCCCACCTTATCTGATTCTTTTTTTTTTTTTTTTTTTTTTTCAGTTCACAGGCCTAGAGCTGTGGTCATAGCTGAGGTTTAGAGTACCGGCCTAGCATGCACAAGGCCTGGGTTCCGGTCCCCAGCACTGCATACAGGGCTGTGGGAGAATAAACCTATAATCCTAATTCTCAGGAGACCGAACCAGAACTTTAACGCAGCAAGTAACAGGCCTGTATTGCATAAGAGCCTGTCTCAACCTTTTACCCCTCCAAACAAACATTAAAAGTCTAGGAGTGAAGCCAGGCAAGGTGGTGCACGCCTGTCATCCCAGCACTCCGGGAGGCAGAGGCAGGCAGATCTCTGTGAGTTCCAGGACAGCCTGGTCTACAAAGTGAGTCCAGGACAGCCAACGCTACACAGAGAAACTCTGTCTTGAAAAACCAAAACCAAAACCAAACCAAACCGCCTAGGAGTGGCCAGGCATTGTGGTGCATGCCTTTAATCCCAGCCCTCAGGAGGCAGAGGCAGTTAGAGCTCTGTGGGTTGGAGGCCAGCATGGTCTACATAGTGAGTTCCAGGTCAGCCGGGGCTACATAGTGAGACCCTGTCTCAAAAAATTAACCTCCACTCCCAGGAAAAAAAAAACAAAAACTAAACCAAAAAAACTGTTTATTGTCATTTCTGCCCACCAGATGGCGCTCTGGCCAGGCCAGGCTAGCTGGCTTTCACATTCCCTGGTCTTTTTAGTGGTTGGCTGGGGCAGCGCTCAGTATTCCACAGCACGAAGGGGATGGCTTTATTTACACCCTCCAGACCATGTGAAAGGTCTAGCCCCCGTGGACCCACGAGGGCTTAGTAGGGCAAGCAGCCGTAGCCACGTGCTCCAGCCAGCCAGCCTCACTTCCAGCAGATGATGATGTTGGGGTCGCTTTCTAGTCGCTCGTCCAGCTCGCGGTAGCTCATGCCTAGGTGGGGTGAGCACAGCAAGATCAGCAGCCTTGGCCTGGCCAGTCAGCCCTTCCCTCCGTCCCCGAAGCCTGCCTGCCCGCCCCCACCTGTCTTGCAGCAGATCTCGTCATAGCTGTGGCAGCCTGTGTAAAGCCGGGCAGGGTGGCTCCGCTCCTCCCGAGACACTCGCACTGGGTACTTCTGTAGTCTCCGGATGAGGTTCTTCATAAGGCCAAACTGGATCAGCTTCCTGAAGTGACGGTCGGGGAGGGGGTTGATGCGAGCCCTTTCCTTCAGGGCTTCCAGGGTCACCGTCGGCCTGTACTGGCCAGCCTACGTACTTCTACTCTCAGGGAACCCCCTGCTTCCTAGTTGAATCAAGGCTCTTCCAGAGAGACCCGAGACGGCCCAACCCCCGACGCCCCGGAGCGCTGACCTTTCATCCACGCGCTGTAACTGCTGCGGGTGGCGGCCGATGAGGTCTCGCACAGTGGTGCCTGGGCTCAGGCTGCAGTACAGCTGGAACACGTCTCGAAGACTGGCCCTCTTGTGCCCTGTGGGTGTCGGGGTTAGCTTCCTCCCTCGGTGGCCCTGTCCTCCCGTGTTAGTCTCCCCCCAAGGGTTTGCCACTACCTTGCTTGGTGACGTAGGACAGACAGGCTTCCTGCAGGGACCTGTCATCCACCAGGTCCTGGACCTTCGGGGTTGGGCAGTACACGTTGGAGTACTAGAACGCAGCAGGGGACACGAGGGCCTGAGTGACGTGCTCGGGAGCCTGGCTTGAGTGGCCCGGCCACATGGGTCCCACGGTACTTAACTGTATCCCAGACTCACCTACCTGGAGGGTGGACACCAGCGTCACAACGCCATAGTACCTGGGGAAAGAGCCGGGCTCAGGCTGCAGCCGCCGCGCCGCCCCACCCCTGCCCCCAGGGTCCTCAGGCGCTCCTCTGACCGGTGGTGGCCCTGGAACAGGCATAACTGAGTCTCCACTCACAACAGGTTCTGGATGGCAATGCGCACCAGGTTGAGCTCCACGTCTGCCTCGGCAGAGATCTTCTGGACATGGCGGAATCCGTCGATGTAGGGCAGGATCTGCACAGGGCAAGCCAGGGTTGGCAAGGGCGAGGCTAGGGCGGTGGGCAGCCGGAGGCGAGGCCACCTGGGAGAAGGCCACCTGGGAGAAGGCCAGCGTACCTGTTGCGTGGTGAGGTCCCACTGGGAGTTGTAGAAATCCTCTTTGTCCTTCGTAAAGACGGGCACATCGTACTCCTGAGCCACGGGAGGGTCCGGCCGCTGCTCGATCACCTTCAGGTGGATGGTGTTAGATTCATCTGCAGGGGAGAACACCCGATCCTCAGGCCTTTCCCGAGGGGCCCTCATGACAGTCTAAATCTCCCAGCCTCAACTGAGGCACTCTGGTCGATGGTGAAACTGAGGTCCAGAGAGGGGGAAGAAGGTAGCCCAGGAGGAGACCTGAAGAGCTCTGCTGGCCGCTCCCCCAGCCCCAGGCCCTTTGTACGCCGGCCCCTCGGACACCAACGTTTCAACCCAGGGCTATTTCTTGCCCACCAATTTGCTTAAGAAGCTTATCCTCCAGCTCACTTCTGCCCCCTTCCCATCCTTCTCTGCTCCTGTACTGTCCCACCAGAGGCTGTCCGTACCGATGGGGAGTGTGCACCGGCCGGAGGCGTTGAGCTCTTCCAGTAGGATGGTCATGATGGGCACCAGCTTCTGCTTGCTCTCCTCTGTGGACACAAAGCTGCTTTCAAGCTGGACAGAACACGGACAACATGGTGAGCCTACCTCAGCTCCTGGCCAGCTGCACTCTGAGCTGGCTGGTGCAGGCTGGGACTGGAGCCACAGGGACACTTTCCCCAGCTGTGCCGCCATGCGCCCACACCCATCTGCCCCTCTTGTAGCAGACCTCCAGTGTGGTCAAGTAACCGGCCAGCTTCTTAACAATGGGTTCCAGGGCACAAGTCTTGGCCTGCGCATCACACACGAAGCCCAAGTTGAAGAGGAGGGCATTTCGGCTGTACTTCTTGTGTTCGATGCACACAGGGCAGCCAATCAGCTTCTTCTCCATGGCTGTGCTAGATGGGCAAGAACAGAGTCAGCCTGGCCCCTAGCCAGCGTGGGACCCTTGGCTCCCACCCGACCGAGGCCTCACACAGTGATAAGCTTGTTCTGCAACTCAGGCTTGGTGATGATGTACACTTGGACAGTGTCAAACAGCTCCCGGGAGATGAAATCCTCAGGGACCTGAGGGCAGTGAGGAGAGTCCCCTCAGTGGACCCTGGGATTGGGTGGGTTCCCATCCCAGCCAGGCTCACGTCCTCTACCGCTTTCCTTCCCTCATCCCACCCAGGGTAGTACTCTGTTGTGTTTCCATACACATGCTACATTTTGGCAAGCTTCCTGGCTTCTGCATTCACTATTCCCACTACCCGGAATACTTTTTAACTCTCACCTAACTTTTATACATCATTTATGTCTCAATCCAGTACTTTTCTTGGGTCAGCTAAACCTTCATGACACCTAGCACCTCCATGAATCCTATAGCCTGATATTTCTCAAAAAGTGCTTGTGTGACAAATCTCCTCCCCCACACGAGGAACCAGAGACCTGGCTCTGTGTATCCTCTCCATTCAAGGTTATCTGTGAATGGAATGACAGGCCTGGATGAGCACTGGGACCCACAACCCCTCCACGCGGCCAGCTGAGCTCCAGAGGGCATCCCTCCCCTCGCCCGGTCCCCGGGAGTGTGGAAGGCACCTGATAGGTAATTTTGGGTCCCAGCGTTGGGTGGAACTCGCTGAAGAATATGCATTCGATGCGGCAGCTGCTGCCCATGGCGCTGACCCGTCCCGAGTGTGTAATCCTTTGTCTTTCGTGCGGTGGTCGCCTCCACCCCTGGGAACACCTGTCAAAAAGAGAAAAGAGGCCTGGGCTAGGTCGCACAGGTTTGCGAGAGCCAACCAAACGAGCCGTCAACTCTACGGCGCCTGCGCAGGGCGACTCAGGGGCGTGGCTGGTGCTGGATGGGACGGGAGGGGGCTTGTCCCAGGAAGTCTTGGGTGAGTAGACATCGCACCCGGAAGTGACGCGCCTCCGTAACAAAGCGGTGGCGCGGCTGGCGGGCCGGCAGTCCAGTTTATTTTGGAGGAAGTCACTGCGTCGAACTTGAGAAGCAGGTGAGGAAGGCAAATTCCTACCGGAGAGGTACAGCGTGCCAGATGCACGTGGGGAGGAAATGTGCAAAGAGATTCACACTTAGGTAGGAAAGCTGCTGGTAACTACAATTCCCGTAGTGCTTCACGCTTTTCGTTCTGGCTTGCGGTGACGTACTGCATTCTGGGATTTGTAGTCTTACCTGTCCGTTCTCCCACCGGGAAGGTGCGATCACTACTACTTCAAATACAGGTGTTTGACAGGTAGACTCTGCTAAGTTGAGACTGTTAGTGCCGGGTTTGTACTGCTCCTGTCATAACTTCTCCGAAAAAAAGGTGGCACTCTTGCCCTGAATTTCTGTCCCCAGTGAGAGGCGTGGACAGTGGGCATCCTTGCCAACGCCTACGATGCTTTCAGGCTGTACAGCTATCGGCTGGGCTGACCATGGCCCTTTCTGTGGAGACAGAGTCGCACATCTACCGAGCTCTGCGCACTGCCTCTGGGGCTGCAGCCCACCTTGTGGCCTTGGGCTTTACCATCTTTGTGGCTGTGCTTGCCAGACCTGGCTCCAGTAAGTAGAATTCATTCATAGTTGACTTACGGGAAGGGAAAAGCCACTTTTCATGGGGAACGGGAGCAGTAGGAAGCGATGGGCTTAACTCCTGGGAACAGGCTTGGCTGGCTGAGGAATCTTTTGTGCTGGAGTCATTTAGTGTCCTAGGTAGAGTAGATCAGCTTGGGGGCTCTGCCAGCCTCGCCAAGCTTCAGAGTATATGGCTTTTCTCGTTGACTTGGCATTTCATTCCTGACTCATGGAGATGTTGGAGGAGCTGCCAGAGGAGGGACAGAGACTGGGGGTGGGCAAGATGAGCTTGTTATACGTGGGGGCTACACTTTGACACCACCTTAGGTGATGGATAGGCTATCCATATTAAGCCTGTAGGGATCAGTATGCTGGTTTCTTTTCCCCTTCGCTCCATGAGACTTCCTCTTCTCATTCCAGGTCTGTTCTCCTGGCACCCCGTTCTCATGTCTTTGGCTGTAAGTAGTGCATCTGGGTAACATGTAGGGTAGAGTGTGGGCATGGGTGGTGAGCCTCAGAATCCTTGAAGGCATCTAGTTAGTGCCAGCTTACAGGCGTTACATGTTCCTGCTACTGCTTCTGACATCTATTCAGGGCTTGAAAAACAGTATTCAAGACCCAGTCCAAATGGGTGAAGCTCACCCAAGCACAAAATGAGGCTTCTCTCATCTCCAGCCAGGAAGCTGAGAAATTGCATTTGGAGGTTGCTCTGTCCCTAAAAACCTTAATTTATGGCGATGCATCTAATTTTCCCTGAAACAGTACACCCATGTGACCAGCTCTTGCCAAGTAATTGTATCCAGCCCCATGGGAGGCAAACAAAGCTTGTGAATCATTTATTACTGCCACGTCTCAAACCTTGTTTGCTGGGTAATGTAGCAGAGGTGATATTTCAGAAAAGCACACAGGAAGAAGTCTGGAAGGGTGGTTCTCCCTGACCACCCAGGGCAGGTGTTTTGTCCCACACAGGGCCCTCCACTGTCCCACCAAATGCAGTGTTCCCCTGGGGAAGGGAAGGAGGCGGGGCTGAGGGCAGTGGCCTGGAAGGTTTTCTAAAGCTTCACAGCACTCATGAGTCTCTCTCTCCTTAGTTCTCCTTCCTGATGACTGAGGCACTCCTCATGTTTTCCCCTGAGAGTTCACTGCTGCGGTCCCTGTCACGGAAGGTCCGAGCTCGCTGCCACTGGGTGCTACAGCTGCTTGCCCTACTCTGCGCCCTGCTGGGTCTGGGTCTTGTCATTCTCCACAAAGAGCAGCTTGGCAAAGCGCACCTGGCCACTCGACACGGGCAGGCAGGGCTGCTAGCTGTGCTGTGGGCAGGGCTGCAGTGTGCAGGGGGCGTGGGGCTCCTCTACCCCAAGTTGCTGCCCCGATGGCCCTTGGCAAAGCTGAAACTCTACCATGCCACTTCTGGGTTGGTGGGCTACCTGCTGGGTAGTGCCAGCCTCCTGCTGGGCATGTGCTCACTCTGGTTCACTGCCACGGTCACTGGTGGCGCCTGGTACCTGGCTGTGCTGTGCCCCATCATCACCAGTTTGGTAATCATGAACCAAGTAAGCAATGCCTACCTATACCGCAAGAGGATCCAACCCTGAGCACTTGCCAGCCATTAGGAAGCCTGGATTTGCACCTCAGCCGAGGACCTGGAGCTGGGAACCTGTTGGACTCTCATAGCTGACTGGGTCAGGGAACATTTTGGGTACTCAGGCACTCGGGTAGATCTGTGACATTTTTGCTCCTCATGCTAGAGTGCCTCCCTTTTCTTTTCTCGCTGTCAACCCAGGGAAGCATGGATCAGTGAGTGTGGATGAAGCTGGGGTCGCAATTTTGTCTCCCCAGCCACACAGCGTATATTTGTACTGGTATGTCCAGAAATCATGGAGAAAAAAAGTAAAATAAACACACAAACCAAAACGGAAAAGACTGATGGGAGCAGCAGCCCAGAGTTGGGGATGGCTCTTGCTAATGCCATCGTTGTGAGAAAATGGCAGCTGGGCTAAATGGGGGCCCTTCCACATGGTGGGAGTCCACAGAACCTGGCTGCTGAACTTCCTGTGACACCCAGTGAATTGGGAGGCTGCGAGTGGACAGTCCAGCTAACTCTGGGGGAGTCTGGAGACGGAGATGGACTGTTTCCACAGGTGTCGCACACAGGACACGACCTAAGAGCTGAACCATGGTCAGTTGTGGCAGGTGGATCTCTGTGAGTTCCAAGCCAGCCTGGTCTATGACTTGAGCTCCAGGCCGGCCAAAGCTACATAGACCCTGTCTCAAAAGAGAAGAAAGTTGAATCATGAACAAGAAAAACTTTCCTTTTGTTTTTGAGACAAGATTTCATGTCTCCCAGGCGGGCTCTGAACTCACTATGTGGTCAAGGGTGATACCAACCTGGAGATGAGCTCCTGCTGCGCCTCGGTCCTGGGGTTATAGGTGTGTACGTATACATTATATATATATATATATACACACACACACACACACACACACAGGTGAGTGTGTATGTGACAGATACACTGTGCCCCTTTTATGCAGTGCTGGGACTCACACCCAGAGCTCTGAAATGCTAAGCAAGTGCTCTACCAACTGAGCTACACCTTCAGCACCCTAGTTTTTGCCTGTCTGTGCCACCATGCCGTGCCTAAGACAACACCTCACAGAGGAGAAGCTTCAGCTGTCAGGTTCTTTCTAGTGGAGTAGGGAGAGAAAAAGGAGTGAGGGACAGAGTGATGGCTCTGGCAAGACTGCCTAGCGGCAGGCAAGTACTAGTCAAGAAGGGGCGGGGACAACAGTGGAGCTGCTGTGGAACTGGGCCCTGGGACCCAGCAAGCACGTTTAGTTTTGCATTTGGTAAAAGATGAGAGGGCTGCTCAGGCAGTCTGATGGAGCCCACAGCCACACCTCAAAGAACGGCTTTATTGATACTGTGAGGCTGGGCTGCCACGTAGGTGATCCTGTAGAAAATACCTGGGGGCCGTGGTAGCTCAGCGAGGCACGGTCATCACTGCCACAGTAGAAGGGCACAAGGAACCCTGACGTGAACACGGCCTGGGGTGGGCACGGATTCGCAGACCCGCACTGGTTGGGGCCCCAGAACATTTTTGGCAAATATAAATCCTTGCCTTGGCTCAGGGCTGTTGGCAACCAGTTTCAGATGTGAGGGCTGGCCCAGGAGCTGTGGCACCAGTGTCCCTGTGGCCGCTTCCTTGGTGAGGAACTGTTCCTTCACAGTCTTACCGCAAATGGGGGTCTGGACTGGCTGATGTTCAGAGGCCCCATACCTGGCATTTTGGTTGTCTGGAGTTGGAACCAGGTAGCAAGGGTCCTGTGTAGTGTTGGCGAGAAATGATAGCAGAAGGCCAAAGAAACCCCCAGCAGGCCTCTTCCCTCTCCTCAGCGCAGTCAGTGCCCTGGAGTAGCTGAGAAACCAGGGAGGGCACGGGAGCAGAGGAGCTATGCTCAACGTGGTCTGGAGTTAAAGTTTGGGAGGAGCTGCCTCGAAGGTGATGAGGCTGGATTCTGGGGCAGTCCCCTTCCCTGGTGGCGTGGAAGGTTTTTCTGAGGGCAGAGGACTGTCCTTTTTCGCCCCAGTTTCCTCTTCGTCATCATCCATGCTGGGCCACACTGACTGGTCCTCCACTCTCTTCAGCCGTTCATTAAGAGCCTTTAGGGCCAGTTGTCTAGAGGCGGAAGAGAAAAGACAGGTCACACTGAACCAGGAGCGGCATGTACTCTGAACCTCTACTCAACAGACCCAATCTTTTCACCAAAGAGCTGTGTCCCAGAATCTCATCTTTTCCCTTCCTCACACAGCATCCGAGAGCCTGGAGCAGGATCCGCTTTGCCAGTGAGGATGAGGACCCGAGGCCTCCTCAGAGCCAAGCTACCAGCAGGTTGAAAAGGTTACCTAGTGTTGGCAGCCTGCCTACCAGGCCAGGCACCATGATGCTTTTGAGTTTGCTGGCTAAAGATGGCTGGATCTCGTGCTTCGGGGCAGGAGTGGAATGTGTTAGTCCCTGGAGATGAGTCCTGCTTGAACACTGCTGTCACCTCCAAGCCACCCTGTAGCACAGACCTTGAACTCATGGATCTCCTATCTCAGTCTCCTGAGCGGCAGGGACTCAAGGCCTATATCACCCAGCTGAGCTAAGGGAACACCCAGTAGTGAAGCAGCATCACCATGGACCCTTTCACCCTCCCTCCTATGACAGTTCATCACCATGGACCCTTTCACCCTCCCTCCTATGACAGTTCATCACCATCACCATTTCACCCTCCCCTCCTATGACAGTTCATCACCATGGACCCTTTTACCCTCCCCTCCTATGACAGTTCATCACCATCACCATTTCACCCTCCCCTCCTATGACAGTTTTCCTAGAGGAGTTTCCCAAGGCCATCCAGACCTCAGCAGACCCTTGTAGGAGAAACAGCCCATGCGGACAGGACACAGTAGGGCCTGCTGTTTTCACGGGGTAGACTTATGGGCATCATTTTCAGAAAAGGGGGGCAAATACACCTGGGGCTTTTCTTTAGGACACCCAAGAAGACTCAAGCTGGAGGGCCCAGAATTGGCCTGCAGCATGCCTTGGGTGCTTTCCCACACCTTGGACACCAGCTAGAAGCTCCTTCAAGAAAGAGGTGCTCTACACACTGAGCTACACAGCCTCATGGAGAACAAGGTCCTGAGCATTCAGCTTTTTGGCCCACAGAAGTGAAGTGGCCACTTCCAGCTGGTCACGGCTCTGCCTCGTTCCCACTTCAGGCAGACAAGTCATCCTGCAGCTTTCCAAGATCTAAAATTTTACCACACCAAGGAAAAAAAAATCAGGGACACAGGCATTAAAACGTCCAACACACTCCAACCTGGCCCGGGGACATCCCTGCCCTGTCACTCCTCAGGAGATGTCCTTGCCAGCAGTCACTTTGCCACAGGTTCCTGAACCCTGTGACATCCTATTTCTTCCTTGTAGCACTTGGGTCTGAGAGCTGCATGCAGTCGGATGACAAACTGGAAGAGCATTAGCCCCCATGTGAGCTAACATCCAGCAGACTGCCAGAGACCCCCTCTTGCCAGGAATCTCCACTCTTCCTCTCTCTCCATTTTCTTTCCTTTTTTCTTTTTTTTTTTTTTTTTTAAAGATTTATTTATAGTGTTCTGCCTGCATGTGTACACGGGAAGAGGGCACCAGATCTCACTATAGATGGTTGGTTGTGAGCCACCATGTGGTTGCTGGGAATTGAACTCAAGGACCCTTTGAAGAACAGCCCGTGCTCTTAACCTCAGCCATCTCTCCAGCCCTTTGTCTATTTTCTTGATCCTGGATACAGGTTTTCTGAATGACCAGTCGATTCTCACAGTCCAGGCCCTCTTTCTGGGTAAGGACGAGCCCTGGCCCAGCCCCACCAGACAGCTCTTAGAGCTGCCCTTTAAAGCTCCAACCCCCACAACCCCAGCCCATTTCTTCTACTAAAGAAGGTCAAGATGGAGGTGTCTTTAGGGCACCCCCAAAAGCCCTAAAGCTGTAGGGCCCAGAGTTAGGGCTGCAGCATGCCCAGGCCGAGTTTCCACACTGGTACCATCTTCAAGGAAGATGTGTTCTGCACTCAGCTACACAGCATCAGTGGAGAATTCTCCCACTGTGCAGTTTGCACAGGTGAGCAAAAGCAGGACCCTTTGACAGATTCTACGGAATAGGGCTGGTGAGCCATTTCCTGAAAAGTCTCAAGAATAACACTGGACAGAGCTGTGGATCTCTTGGGAGCTAGGAGCACCGTAAAGAGTCCACACAGGTCTGAGAAGTAAGCTGAATTTAGAAGCTTTCTCCTGCCCTGGCCAAAGTGTCCTGTGAGTAACACAAAGAAACCGCTGATGCTGCAGACACCCTGGTTTACAGGTAATGGCCACAATGTCTCCGGCCTGCCTGGTGCGGTCAGCAGGCTCGGGCAGTGCGTCCCACGGCCTGTTGCCTACATTTGAATGACACATGCCTGAAAGTGGGGTAAACTTAGTAATACCCCAATTATCCTCCATGAAGAAGAAGGGAACCACCCACACAGACATCCCTGCCCAGCCCCATCACAGGGGAAAAGGACCAATAGTTTCAGTTTCCCACAGGACCAATGCTTAGAGTTTGGAAACCATGAGGCAGGCCAGTTAAGTGGCCCAAGTGGTGAGAAACAGTAGAGCCCAGAAACCTCCATACTGAGTTCCTTCCTTAAAACCCAAACCTGAATCCTCTTTCTGAAGCTGACCCACACACATGCCTGCAGCTACCCTGTCTACGTAAAGCAAACGCCTCACGGGATGGCGTGTGACTCCACCAGTGGTCTAGCCAGCCAAGATTTTGGAAAAGTTCACAGTACCTTCTCCGCTCTGCATCTTGAGGGTCTGTGCCCGGGAGGCTGATGGTGATGGAGGATGGCGCTCCCACATCATAGCGCTTCACCGTCTTCTGGCATATCTTCACTTTCACCAGGAGGCCATGCACCAAGTTCGCCAGCAGCCCCACGACTGGCTGCAGGATCTCCGGGAAGAAGGTGGCAAAAGCAAAATGATCAGCCATGTCCCCTCGGCCCCGGCTGTGGCGCTGATAGAAGCGAAGATATATCCAACTGGATAGCAGCCCAAAGCCATAGGAAGCCAGTGCCGGGCTCTGGAGCAGCGTGGCCAACCGAAGCAGCAGCAGCAAGGCCAGCAATAGCATGGGAACTACGCTAACGCGGACCTGGGGCACTCGAAGAACCACACAGTCTCCCATAGTTTGCTTGAGGGCCACCAGGACACCACCTAGGAAGCCCAGGGCGCCGTGGATACGTATAGTGAACAGGTAGACCAAGTTGAAGGAAGCCATGTAGGTGAGGAGGTAGGCGAAGGCCCCCAGAAGCCCCACGGACACATTCACCACCGAGAAGAAGATGAGCAGCTCCAAGGCTCCCCAGAGGGGCTCCAGTAATCGCCCGGCCACCACTACCGTGGCCAGGCTGATGGCCACGTCCCACACGTGCTGTTCCATGAGCCCATGAGTGGCCAGGGTCCAGATCCAGAAGTTGGGTGGAAAGAGGTAGCCTGGTGTGACCGCCAGGCAGCCCGTGTCCACGGCGAAGGAAAGCAGATAGAGAAATAGTACCACGGCGCACAGTGTCTTCACCACCACGCTGGCGCTGGCCAGGACGGCCCCCAGATGCTGGCGGGCACCGGGTAGGGCGCGTTGCATCTTCCCGGTGGACGTCGGCTTGAGGGAAGGTGAGGAAGTGGCCTAGGGGCCTCCCCGGGGCCTCGTTCCAGTGCGGCCCCGACGGGAGGCCCGAGCCCGGTTACTCACTGGCCTCTGTTCCTTGGGAAGGCTCCGGTTCCGGTCTTGCTGCCAGCCTATGCCCCTTGTCGGGGACCCGACGTTAGGCCCTGGGTGTCTGGGGCACGCCTGCCTGCCGGCTCCGTAGGCCCAGCGGCCAGGCTGACCAGGCTAGTATTGATCTCAAGGCTGGGCTTCTTCCATCCGCTCTGAGACTGTGCGATCTGTGGGGGACTGGTGCCTTGTCCCGGCCCCAAGTCAAGCCCGTTTAGCTCCGGCTGGGCTAGCGTTTTGACTTGACGGTACCTCCTCCCTTCTCCGGGGCCGACAAACAGGAGCGCCGCGCCTGCGCGCCCCCGCCGGCGGCCGCGGCTGTACGCCCTCTGAGCACTTGTCTTCCGGCTCCTCGGCATGCTGGGATACGGAGTCCTTGGGACCTAGTCGACCGGTTTCTGCACAGAACCACAAATCCCAGAAGCCGTGCGCCCGACCGGTCTGTAGCGTGTGGAGGCGGAGGTGCTTGGGAGTTGTAGTTCTGAGGGCTGAGTCCTCCAGTTCTTAGGGGTTAGGGAAGTAGGGACCAGTATCGCTGATTTGGGAAAGCTGAGGTGGTGACTCGGCGGGTTCAGGAGGCCGCGCAGCCTTGGGCCACACACTTGTTGAATTCTCTGGAGGAGAATGGCCCTCTCTGTGATCTGTACAGGTACAGCAGTGTTTTTGTAAGCGGGTACGTTAAGGATGTTGAACGGTTCTGTTGCGTGAACTAACAATGGGTGTGAACTAGCCGGAAACTCCATGGTCTGGCAAATGGAGCCTAAAGGCGGGCTAGAACCCTTGTTCCGTCATTTGGAGTCAATGTGATATTGACCAAGTTCCCGAACATTTTTGAAGTGCAATCTGACAAACCTTTAAAAAATGGGGATAATGGCGGGCTCTTCCTAACTTAAGGATCAAGGAGTGTAGATGTCAGGCCATCTTGGGTGTTCACATTGCCCTTGGTCCAGAGAACTGGATGGACCTGCTACGTGAACTCAAGTTTTTCACCTGAGAGGGAGTAAGGGGCAAGGCTGTGCTACTTCGGTGACGCTCCCCCCTCCAGAAACTTGATTGTGCTAGGACTGGAGAATGGCTCATCAGTTAAGAGCACTGGCTGCTTTTCTGGAGGACCGGGTTCCCAGCATCTGCATGGCAGCTCACAACTGTCTGTCACTCCAGTTCCAGGGCTTCTGACACGCTTCCACTATCACATATACAGGCAAAACACCAATGGGCATTAAATAAAATTATATATCATATACACTCCCTAAAAGTCGCAGGGTGGTCTAGGCTCATCTTCACGCTAAGGTGGTCATCAACAGGGTGTTTCTTGAGACTTATTTAAAATTTATTTAGTTTTTACATGTGTGTGTCTCTGTGTATATGCCATGTACTTGCGCAGGCCACAGAGGCCACAAGAGGGTCCCTGGAGCTGGAGTTGTAAGCCACCAGATGTGGAGGCTGGGGCTGGAATTCGGGTTCTGTGTAAGAGCAGCGCTCTGTAAATGCTCCGTGAGAGCACTGTCAACTACAGAGCCAGCACTCCAGCCCTGAGATTTGTGCGTTGTTGTTGTTCTTTTTAAAGTGCATATTTTAAAAATGTGACTAGTCATATGTCAAGAGACTTTTATTATAAAATACAGAATCCCTTTTAGCCATTGCTTTCAACACAACTGCCTGTGTGTTCAAAACTGCTTCTGCCCTTTTTTGTTTGTATGGGGTCAGGGTTCCCAGTGTATGGCACTAGTGTTTGTTAGGTTTGGCTTAGCGGATCGAAATACAGTCAGGCAATGGTGGTACACGCCTTTAGTCCTAGGACTTCGGAGCTTTCATCCTAGCACTCAGGAGGCAGGTGGATCTCTGTGAGTTTGAGGCCAGCTTGGTCTATAGAGCTAGTGTTAGGACAGTGAAGGCTACACAAAGAAATCCTATCTCAAAAACCAAAGCAAAATACAGAATCAAACAGTCAAATTTGAATTTTGAATAGGCAATTTTCAGGATAGGGATGGCCCATACAATATTAGAAACACTAGAAACACACACACACACACAAACCAAACAACAACCACTGGCTCCAAATGCAAGAATAAGTTTATTCAGAGCAAAGTGAGAGCAGAGATTAAAGGGATATACTCTCAAAAGTGACAGTGGGCCTCGTGAGTGATAGTAACCAAGGGCCAAAAACCCTAATGTTAAAAATGTACCAAGAGTCTGGGTGGTGGTGCTGGCCCGTAATCCCAGCACTTCGGTGGCTGCAGCAGGGGGACCAGAGGTCCAAGGCCATTCTTAGGGATATAGTGAGTTTGAAGCCAGGCTGGTCTACAGGAGACTCTTGCAAAAGAAACCACCAAAGTTCTCCTCAAACCAGAACTGACTGCGCTTTAGCGGACGACCCCAGTTTCAAGGCACTGGAGCTGTTCTGGGGTAGGAGAGTAACTGCTCTGTGGTCAGCCCCTGCAGAGGAGCAGGGGAAGCCTAATCGTGCCTGAGGCGTGGAATATCCCGCCCCCCCTCGCGCACCTGGCCTGTAGAGGGAGACCTAGTCTGCTGCCTCCCGTCCCCCTCCGCCACCCACCCTGACCTCTGTAGGGCAACCGTCGCAGACTCCACACTCTGGATTATGTAGGAAGACCTACACACACACACACACACACACACACACAGCCTGACCCATGTAGGGCTCCACACGCACACAGGTCTGTCCTGGCCTCTGCCCTCCCTCCATCCACTTGCTGATGGGTGGGCTGATGTTTCATCCTCGAGGTGTGTGGGCACTAGCGTCTGTTGTGTTGGTCCAGGGAAAAGATCCGATTGTCCCGTCCTGGTCTGATCACACCGCTGAGCATCTCGCTGCTCTTTCTTTTGGAGTCCTGGCTTTGCCTTGGGGTGCTGGGTGGTGGGTTTTCACACACACACACACACACACACACACACACACCCTTGACAACAGTTTCTCTCCTGGATGCTTGTGATTTGATATGAAACAAAGTACTTTAAGGGTAGGAGCCGTGTATAATGCCCTTTGAACTCTGAGGAATAGGCCCAAAAGGCTTTTCCTCCCAACAGAGCAGGGTGCTACTCAAAGGTTATGGAAACCCATGGTCACAGCTACCCATTCCTCAACCCAAGGCCCATACAGTGGATGGAAACTGTTTGAAGTGAAAATATGAACATTATTTAATAACTGATCTTCTGTAATAAACCATTTGAAAATATTTTACAAGGAATCACACACACAATATTTTACAAAGTTTCTTGACTTTTTTTTTGTCGCTGTTGTTTTCCCAACTTGTCTGTACAAAATAGAATAACAACCGAAAGAAAGAAAAAAAAAAAAAAAGGGCAAAGAAAAGGAAATGGCCCCCAAGTCCCCCAGCCCAAGGTGAGGGGACAGCCAGGTCAGGTGGGTGATGAGAGGATCGAGCCCAGCTGGGGGTTGGACAACTACCTGATGGGGATTGTTTTGTCTGGTCTTTTTGTTTGTTTGTTTGTTTTTAAACTTAAAATATATATTTATTTTTCTGTATACGTTTGTTTCTTTTTTGTTTGTTTGTTTATATTCTCCATTAAGCACCTGACTACACTACAGTTTACACACGCACCCCCACAGGACTCAGCTGACATCGAGGCTGGGCACACGTCACGGACACCCACCCTGTCACCAGCATTGGGCATGGACCACATACACACACATACACATACACACACACACTGAAAAAGCAACAAGCAACGTGACATTAATTAATGAAGCCATTAATTAATGCATCACCCTCCCCCTCCTCCCGGTCCTTCTGAGCCTCGTGGCTACACACCCCTGCCCTCGGTCCCCGACTGGCCCCCAGGTTAGGATGCCTTTGGGAGAAATGACAGGAATGAATGGTGTGAAGAGATGTGTCCAGGCCCAGCCTCTGTGTGTGCGGTGTGTTTGTATGAGTGCATGGTGCAACTGTGTGTATTTAGCAAGAGGGGTAATTCGGCCTCCTGGGGGGCAGCGTGTGTGAGTGTATGTGTGTGTGTGTGTGTGTGTGTGTGTGTGTGTGTGTGTAAAGAACAGAGGGAGCTGGGCCTGAGTGTGTAGGAACCAGATTGGGGGGGTGGGGGAATGGCCCAGCCAGGAGAGACCAAGTCACCCTTGCTAAGGCGAAGAGCAATGTCTGCCAGAGGGGTTTAGGCAGTGGTGTGGTCCTGCTAGGGGCCTGACACTAGTGAGGACTGGTTACAATGAGCACCTGGCAGGGTGGGGGGCACTTGGGGGGCACGGCGGCCAGAGGTGAGACAGAGAGGCCTTCCCCCAGCATTTTGGCACTGTTTGACATTCAGCTTTAGAGATGGGGGGACAAGCCAGGCTGCATCTCAGAGTACAGGCAGAGGTGGGCAGAGATGGAGTGCACAGGCCAACGCTCTCACTGACCTCTTGCCCTGTGTAAGGCTTCGTGGGCCACCCCCCTATGGTGTGTGTCTGTGTCTGCTAGTGTGTTCCCTTTGGGGTATATCTAGTGAGAGTCTAGTGTCTGCTCTCAGGGGTCCAGGTGTGTCGGGTGTGTCTAAACCGATGCCATGGTGGAACTGCCCTGACACCTGCTTCGAGGCTGGGGTGTGGATTTGTGGTTGTAGGCCTGAAAGGGCCAGAAGCCTGTGGGGGGCTGCCCCAGAATCTCTCACCACTACCATCTCACCTTCTTTTTTTTTTTTTTTTTTTTCCCCCAGAGAAGGTAAATTTGGGCTTGGGTGGGGCCAAGAGGGTCAGGTTAGAGGCACCCAGCAGAGGCAGGGTTGCCTTACTGAGGAAGTCTCCAGGCAGGTTGGTCGGTGGAGGCCTGGTTTGGCACCAGTACTTGGGGCCTCCTGTCCCAGCGGATGAGTCCAGGGTCTGCGGGCACTTGGACAGTTCGGGGTGAGATAAATCTTGAGTGCCAAACACTCTACTTTGGGGCTCCCCTGCCCCAAGGCACAGGCTCTGGGGGGGAAGGGGCCCATGTCCTTCAGTGAGGAAGTGGCCAAGGCGCTAGATTGGGAGATGTGGGATGGGAGGGTGAGCGAAAAGGCTAGGAGGCCAAGGCGGGGGTGTGATGTGTGTGTGTGAGTCGCTCAGAGGCGGCGAGAGGCAGCGAAGGAGTGGACTTGAGGCTGCGGCCGAGGCGGCAGGCCCAGGAGGAGCAGCAGCTGCAGGGAGACCAAGACGCCCAGCGACGGAGGGAAAGAGGCTCCGCGGCCACAGTCTGAGGTATCTTCCTGCCGGGGAGGAAGACAAGACACACCTGAATCGGCACCCAGCCGGTTCAGGCTCGGAACATCAGCCGTGCCGCTCCCCCGACTCACCGTCGCGTTGTAGTCGAAACAGATGTGCGGGCCTCTCCGGTATCGAGGTCTTTGTACCAGCTCACACTGCTCCGGGCCGTCCGCTGGGCATGGGTGGGGAGTCAAGGAGGCGGTGGCAGCGACATTTGGAGGGGGGCGCGGGGCAGGAGGGGCTCGGGCGGCGGGGAGGGCGGGGGCAGGATACAGTGCGTCTCCTTCTGCAGCAGCCGGCCCGCCTCGCACTGGCTGCACAGCGGCTTCTCGGCCACCACGAACAGAAGGTTGGTGTTCGTCAGTCTCTGCGCGTGGAACAGCCTGGAGGGACGACCGGAGGGCGGGGCCGCGGAGGTTCGCTCCACCCCGGAGCCAGACCACGCCCCTAGGGGGGAAGGCCACGCCCCCCCCCCCCCCCCCCCTTCCCCCCCCCGCCAGTACCTGCTGCAGTTTCCGCAGTCGATGATGGTGTTATAGGACGCGTTCACCGAGCCGAAGTAGTACTGGGTCTGTTTCACTACGCAGCTGCTCTCGCGCGTCTCAGGGCTGCCCTCGGCTTCTGCCGGGTCTGCGGGGCCCAGACGCCTCAGCCCCGCCCACAGACCCTGACACGGTGTCCGCCTCAGCTTGGCTCAGCCCTAAGTCCCACCCTCCCAGTGAAGTGGCCGCTGGTACCGCCCCGGATTTGGATCTGAGACGGAGCCTCCCAAGCCCTACCTACCTGCCTGGAACCAGCTGTGGTAGATGAGGCCGTAGAGTAGCTGCTGGAATAAGGACCTGTAAAGCATGGGGCACCAAGTATGGGCGGTCAGCAGAGGCCAGTGCCTTGCTGGCCTCCGATGCCAACCTCTCCTCCAGGACTCACCAGGCAGCCGCAGAGGTCCACCAGGCCAAGTTAAGGAAGTCTGCAATGGTGGGCTGCAGTAGAGAGAGGAACACAGTTGCCTCGGGTCCTAGGTCAAATCCAGCTCTCTTAAACGTTGAAGGGATGAGTGGAGGGGTCACTGTAGGTGGCTCTCCCAACCCTCAATCTCCAGGCATTTCTGGGAGCTTACCACAAAGACACCCCGGGGTGCAGCGCCCAGGTTGCCAGGAGGCTGAGGGGCACAGGCTGACTGATAGTCATACGACTCCTTTCGGGTGTAGAAGGAGTTATTGTACAGTGCCAGCATCAGGTTGGCATCCACCTCACTGAAGAATCTGCCGACCTGGGATGCAGGGAGAGAGCCGTAGTCACAGGGCCCGCATGCCACGACTCCAGAAGGCCCTGACTCACACCTTCCTTCCACTTTCTTCCTGACCCTCACCTGGTCCCACTGATGGTTCTGGTTCGACAGCACCAGGAACCCTCCGTCATCAATGAGGACACAGAGCAGGTCCTAAAAGGTAGGGAAGGGAGAGAGAAATGGCCATGGGTCCTGCCCCATACTCTTTGAGGCTCTAGCAGTCCGAGGGTTCAGAGCAAGGGGCACCACTCCTGTAGGCATGGCAAGAGTGAAGTCAGGACAGGGTGTCAAGACCTAACGGCTAAGGGCCAGGCTAGGAGTCACACAGTTGAGACCCAGAAGCCAGGGGATGAGGGGAAACTGGGAACCAGAGCAGAATCGGAGCACACGCACCTCGTTGTTAACCTCGCAGTCCATCTCACAGTGGCTGCTGGGGCCGCACTGCTGGGCAGAGAACGGGGCGGGGGGGAGGCTGTGAGGCGCCCACCCATTTCCCTCATTTCCGTTACCCTTCACAGGCTGGTTCCCCAGGCCATCTGCGGCATCCCCTATCTTCCCACAGGTGCTGGAGCCTGGTGGCAGGCTTGTTAGGGGCCCCTGGGCACTCCAGAGGGGCCACTGCTGGGCACACTCCCCTTCCCCTGCCCAAATACCTTCTGAGGTTGGTCCTGATGGGTACGGTTGCTGGCAAGCACCTTGAACTTTTCGGCCCAAGCCTCTAGGTCCAGTTTGACCCCCACCACTGTGGGAGAGAGCAATTGCCACCTGTGCCACCTGCCTGGGCAGCTTCCCGACTACCGCCTTTTGCCCCACCTCAGTCTTAGCACTCACCTGCAGGCCTCAGGGTTCGACGACCTAGACTGAGCTCCACAGCCGTGCTGACGAGGACGCCCACTGTGTCATTCTCCAGCTCCAGTGGTCTTAACAGGGCTGGAGTGGATGGGTTAGAGCGGTCAGGACTGATGGCTGTCCATCCTGGCCACTCCAGACTGGGCCCTACCAACCCAGGGCTGCCCCTAGCCTATGCCTACGGCACCCCATACAGTGTTTGCCGGAGCCTTTCTCTTCACATCCCTGGTCTCAGTTGAGGCCTCCCACCTGCTGCTGGGCATTGTAGAGACACTCACAGTCCTGGTGTGGGGGCTTGAAGATATAGCCATGGTTATCCAGGCTGCGGCGATAGAAGCTGGCATTGAAGGGTTCAGGATTCTCTGTCCAGTCTTCGGCTGCCCTAGAGCACCCAAGACAGGCAAAGCACAGTGGGTGTACAGCTGCATCTTACGGTGTACAAGGGTCTCAGCAGCGCAGAGGCTTCTGGGTAGCAAGGTTCCACATAGGGAGAGTTCTTGGTGAGTGGGGTTGGTCACTTACTTGTTGGGGAAGACGCGTGTGATACCACCATCAGTGGCAGCGAACACGGCTAGCAGGCTATACCTAGGGGGAAACAGGGAGGCGGGAGTCACAGGCCTGCCTTCTACTGTACAAGGCCAGCGCCTCCGGGCCAACCCCAGCCTCCTGCCACACTTAGCCACACACAGCCTGGGTGGCGGTGCCTACGTGTTGAGATCTTGGTCCCGCCACACACGTTCCACTAGCTGCTGGGTAATGCCTGTGTCCAAGATCAGGTTATGCAGAAGGAAGTTATTGCCTGGAATAGAAGGACAAGGTGGAGGCATGTTCAACTGGAGCTCCCCGTCACTCCTTCCCCCAGTCTCCAGGGCTCTGGCGAAAGCCTCCTCTATGCCCTGACCCCGGCCCTGCCCAGATCCAGCTGCCCTGCCCTATACTCACACTGCTTGGAGTCTGGGGTCACCTTCTCCATGAGCTCAATGAAGTTTTTCAGGAACTCAGTGTTGTTGTCTGAGGCATTCAGGTCCTTGCAATACTCTCTGAGGGTGGGGAGGGGCAAGAAGAATGGGCTTGGGGGGGGCTGCACAGGGCAGAGGGATCCAGGCTTCCCGACAGGTTGGCCTGGGCATTGGCTGAGAAGTCCAGGCTGTGGTGTGGGGACCGTGAATGTTCTCACAGGCTGTGGTCGCTGTGGGCCTGTAGGCTGCTGGGGTCTAGTCAGGGTAGGTAGAGAGGGCAGAAGGAGGAGGTCTGCTTCCTCCAGCCTGCTAGGTTTTCTCTTTCCTGGTCTTGGCCCTGCAGAACCTGCCACCTCTCTGGTATAGTTGGACCCAGATGGCACACCCAAGAGGCCTCAGGAAATACAAATGTCAGTGTCTGGCATTTGTGCATGCCCTACAGTGTTCCCACGGGTATGAGGTGGAGCCGAGTGTCAGTGCGTCTAAGACCCCATCCTGCCTCTTCCTGGCCTTTGGGCTGTGCATTCTGGTTTCCTGGGGCTCACTGTCTTCATCATGCCACAGTTGGGAGGTCGGCAGGGGTGTGTGGGTCCTCGGATTGGCTGTTCCTTCTGCTTGATATGGTCTTCCCTCAAGTTGGGTAGGCCCTCACCAGGCTCTGGGTCCAGAAAACATGGGTACGGCAGAGCCCCGAGCAGGTTCTCGGAGAACAGCGTTTCTTTGCCTCCCCTGATGGATGGTGCCACCTCCCTTAATCACCTCCCTGCCACCAGGGACTCTCCCCAGTGGCCTATAGGACAGCAACTCTGTGGGCAGTTTAAAAACAAAACAAAACAAGCAAACAAAAAGACCCTGCTACTTTCCCAGGCTGCGTTTGGACCCACAGTTTAATGTGAGCACCTGGGACTGGATTCTCAGCCCCAGCGGGAAGGGCACCCTCACTTAGGGGTGGGCACAGCCAGCGACAGCCACACAACCGTGCACAAGGCATGCCCCACACATGAAACATACGTTCACGTTTGCAGGACACCTCATTCACACTTGATCAGCACTCCCGGCCCGGTTATAAAAACATCACTTCCTCCAGCCTCTTCAGGATTATGTCTGCTGGGCCATCCCCAATCACTAGCGCACACAGCCCGCCCCACACTTAACACTTGGCCTCTTGCACATACATGTACACAACGACTCCTCACAAATACAAACGTCCACAGAGTCAGAAATCTGTGGGTGCATGCACGCGGCCTGTGTATGCACAGAGGTCAGGAGTGTCCAGAGCCCCATGTGGTGCCGGGGAGTGCTTGCCTCCAGAACCCCAGGTAATGAGGGATGGCTTCAGCACCAGGGGCCGTGGCTTCCTCAGAGGTAGCTCAAGGCAGATTGTGTCCACTCTAGGACGCACACGTGCACGCCGAGTGTGTACTCTGGGGATGGCCAGAGAAGTTCCTCAAAGCCCTTGCCCTCCCTCCTGTCCCTCCCCGCTCCTCAACTTAGGATCAGCACCATGGCAGTGCCCACAGGGGCTCTGGCTGGCTCAGCCCTCAGACCCACACAAACACTGACTGACACAGGACAATGATGGGGAGGGGGGTCAGGTGGAGGTGTGGGCAGGACCCCACAAACCAGAGCAGCAGCTGCCCAGCGAGGGTATGCTGGGGTACAGCCAGCCCAAGGTGGAGAAGGCTCCTTCCTGGTTGCCTGGGAGGTCATAGAAGGTAGCAGAGAATCCAAAGTCTGCCTGCCCCAGGCCTGGTGGGAGACAGGCTGTGGGCTGCTGGCGACTGCTGCCTGGTGCGGCTACATGGCCTCAGTATGGACACAGCCGCACATACCGGGCCATGTATCGGGGTTGGGAGCGACATTGCACAGGACATAGACACATAGAGCTCCAGGTAGCAGTGCAAAAGGAGGTAGGGCCAGGACGGGGAGGGGAGGGGAGGGCGCCTCAGCAAGGCCACACGCAAGCTACCTGGGAGCAATGAAAACATGTCCTTCAGACTCAAAGCTGCTGGGGAGCAGGAACTCAAAATCTGCAACAGAAACGGGGGGGTTATCCGGCGGGGGCTGGGGAGGCGGGAGGCCAGGGGGCTCAGAGCTGATGGGGCCAAAGGGACAGGTTAGGAACAGGGCGGCTTGAGGGAGGGGGAGACACCAGCAAAGAGGGAACCCGCCACTTCCGCGTTCAGGTTTGAGCCAGAGAGAAGGGAGGGCGAGGAGGGTGTAGGGCCTGTGGAGACTATAGCATCGCAGGAGAAGGGCAGTTATAGCCAATATGTTGCCCGGGCCTGGTCCTCTGTTGGCAGTGAGTCCCTTGGCGTGGCTGTATATGCTTCCATACTGCTGTATAGCACATATACACGGACACACACACACACACATATATATACACACACTGCTTATATATATGCATGGTCTGGGGGAGGCGCCAGTCTTGCTCTTATCACATCCATAATGGAAAAACCGCATGCTGAGCTTCCTTTGCCTCCAAAGAGACTTTGAGGAAGGGAATTGGCTTTTGGCTGCAGATTGGTTTTTTGTTTTTTTTTTTTCTTTTTTCTTTTCTTTTCTTTTTTTTTTTTTTTAAATCTCTCTTTTCCGCAGCTGTTTGCATTTTGGTTAGCTCTTGCTTTTGTTCTGTGTCAGGCATCAACATGGCCAAACCGAAAGGGTTTCTCACGGGCACAGACAGTCCAACCAGAGACGGGTGTGGGCAGCTGCTGGCTGCAGTGCATCGTGGAGTGGGGTGTCGCTCCTGGCACAGGGTGCTGGGTGAAGGGAAACCCACAGGGGGCAGGAGTGCTCGAAGTGTGTGATGAGACACAGGGTGTGTGTGCTGGGCTCTTGCACACCTGCTTTCCTGGCTGGGGAGCTCAGGGTGGGTGGGGCGGTCTGGTCTCCTCCCTTAGGAGTAGACTGGAGAATCGTGCGAATGGGTGGGTGGTCTGACAGGTCGGCCTGTGCCTCAGGCTTGTGAGCTGTGCATGTGTGTGGCACGGATATGGAAGTGTGTGTACATGTTTGTCTCTGTGTGCTCTTTGTGTGTGCTCACAGACCCGAGGATGTGGCTCTGCTATGGACCCTCTTTCTGCCCATCTAGGCTGGATTACCCTGCTGTGTGCGTATTTTATTCTTTCGAGACAAGGTTTCCTGAAGTCCAGGTTGGCTTAGAACTTCCTTATCTACTCGAGGATGACTTTGAACTTCTTGTAAACACCTTCAGAGTGCTGGGATATGGGGATGCACCATCACATCTGCCTTATGTGATGCTGGGGGATTGAACCCAGGACTTTGGGAATGCCAAGCAATGGCAAGCACTGTTGCAACTGAACTGCACCCCCAGCCCGGCTTCGTGCATCTGTGAGGGCCCTTGGCTTGTAGAGTTCTGGCAGCCCACCTCCCTATGCTTTTTAAAAGATGGTCTCTGTTGCCGTGGCTAGCCTTCAATTCATGGCAATCCTCTTGCCTGTGCCACCACACTCAGCTCTCCCTACCTTATCCTCACCCACACTCTAAACTCTTTCACCCCAGAGTTTTAGTTATCCCAGATGAGGGATTTTTTCACTGTTACCAAATACTCCCATGATGCACTGCAAAGTTCTGGATATAGGGAACTTGGGCTGCTTTGAGGGGCAGTCACTGGTTGGACTGTTCCTTTCTGATAGGACTGTGAGGAAGGGTCTGGACACAAGCCAAAGGGAAAGGAGTAGGGGTAGGGAAAGGAGGAGGAGGAGGAGAAAGAAAAAGGAGGGAGGAGGGACCAGGAGGGAGACTATGCTATGTCTGTCATGTTGCCAGGGCCTTGAAGTTCTAGGGTCAGTGGTGGGTGGGATGTGGGAGATGAGAAAAAAGACAACTCAAGCCAGTGGGACTGGGTATGGACCCCACCATGACCCAGGCCAGCAGGGGCAGCTTACTCCCTTTGTTGGACTAGGCTAGACAGGTGCCTGGGTTTCTTGGGGAGTCCCCTGCTTCCAGGTTGGGGGACAGCTCCATGTGTTCTCCACGCCTCACAAGGTCAGATGTTCCTTGGAAAGGCAGTTCTCATTTTCATGTGCCGCCCCCTCGAACTCCCACTGTTTTCTGCCAACCTGGCAACTCACCATCCACTGTTCTGGGAACCAGGAACTGACTTAGGAACTTTTTTCTTTGTCACTAGCCTGGTTTCCTCCAGACTGTTTAGTTGGTTCTTGGGATCCGGAAGATCCTACCCCATACCTGGAGAAGCCTACAGTTCCTGAGTCTGCCTTTATTTTCTCAGGGGAATAGCTTTCCCACACGGATGGGCCCTTCCTAGGAACAGCAAGCACCTAAGGGCAGGGATAGCCCAAAGGCCCTTAGCAACGCCTCCAGAGCAGCAGAACACGCCTATTCCCTGGGATGGCTGGCTAGCCTTGCCCTCCTGTGGCAGGGTTGCTTGCTTTGTGTGGCCCCTACAAAGGCTTCTGAGCCTTGCCACCTCTCTTCCAGGAGGGATGTGAGTTCAGGAGTCACACCAGAACCCAGAGGCCTAAGAGCCATCCAGAGGGCAAGGCTGGGACTTCCCTCTCCCACAGCCTTATATGAGCCTCTCTGAAGGCTGGCCTAACAACTGCACCTCAAGCCTCCCGCCCTGCTGGGTGGGTGGTGATGGAGAAGCATCCATCTCTGTTCTCACTGTTGAGTTGTCTTGGAGGGGCAGAGAAGTTGGGGAGGCAGGGGTCTTCCCATGGGGTCCCACAAGGACTGGGGAGTAGGAGGAGAAGGGTTTTGGCCCACAGGACACACTGGAGACCTCTGTGCAGACTGCCCTGGAAGTGGGCTACTGGCTCTAAGATGGGATGTCAGGATTAGAGGAAAGGCAAGAACTAAGGATGCTGGGAGGGAGCCCCAGAGGGCAGGGGTGTGGCTGGTCCTGGTCAGGAAGGGGGGCAAGCAGGGGCGTGAGGGTGGGTGGGGAGAGGAGGGTGCACTGGTTCTGAATATACTTGCCCTTCAGTTTGCTGATTGGCACTGGGACAGTCCACCAAGAGAGAAAGCGAGGAAAACAAAAACACAAACACAAAAACAAACGAAAAGGGGGAGGGGAAGGGGAGGGGCACAAACAATATTTTATTCAATGGCTGTTTGAATGAAAATATTGTGTCTCATCATCATACTGAAAGGAAACTTCTTGCAAAAAACGACATGAGAGAGAAAGAGAGAGAGAGAGAGAGAGAGAGAGAAACTCAAAGGAGATGAGCCCCAGTCGGCCAGGCAAGGTGGGGGGCGCCCGGTGGGGGGAGCCCCAGCCTCCCTCCCAGTGACTTCTGGCATTGGGCAGGCAGGGCCAAGCCTGAGATCCAGGCCTTTTCAGAGAGGCCTGTGGTGAGTATGCATGCATGGGGAGCCACAGGCAGAGGATTGGGGGAGCTGGAGGTAGGAGAGGGGAGGAGGCAGAAAGGGGAGAGAGAGAGAGGAGAGAGAGAGAGAGAGAGAGAGAGAGAGAGAGATGGTGTGTAGGGGTAAAAGAGGGAGCCCCAAAGGGAGAAAGGAGAAGGGTGTAAAACAGTGAGGGAGGGAAGAGAGGAAGGAAGAAGACAGACAAAAGGGTGAGGGTGAGGGCAGGGGATTTTAGGGTAGGGAGAAGGGCTGGAGGGAAAGTAAGGAAATGGGGGGACTGAGCAGAAGCAAGAGGCAAGAGAGAGAGGATTCCGGTGAAGAGAAGAAAGGAGAAAGGAGAGAGAAGAGATGGTGAGAGAACATGGCATGAAGAGAGGGGGCAGAGGAGTAACAGAGGACAAGAGACCTCAGGAAAGAGGCCGTACCACAGAGGGAACAGGGGAAGTTGAGCAGAAGAGAAGGGAGAGGAGGGGTGTCTTCTAGGAATGTAGCCCCCAGGAGTGTTCAGGGCAGGCAGGCTAAGGAGGGAAGACACGGGGTAGGAAAAACCAAAAACAATCCTCAACAGAAACCATGAGAGAATGGTCTAGAACCAAATCTGAGAAAAGGCAAGCATGCAGATTTCCGCAGACTTCCGAAGGCTGGTTCCACAGCCTGTGGGCACGCCTGAGGCTGGGCAGACTGGGCAGGGGGGCTGCCTTGCCAGCAAGCACAGCTGGCTATGCTGCCTGGGGCCGGCCAAGGGTGCAGGGGCAGAGGCAGGGGTGCAGGGCGCAGGCAGGGGCCAGGCCACTTACACTTGACCTGCAGTATCTGGTCGCTGAGGTTCGCTTGGAGGTAGAAGGTGCTGTAGGGTGGGAGCACCAGCCCCAGGCTGGGGAGGAGGGGAGGGGAGAGCACAGGTCACTGATGGGGAGAGATATGTCACACTAACTTTTCCTTCTCTAGGACCCTGGAGCCAGAGAGGCCCAAGCTGTGGCACCCACTCCTCCCCCACACAACTGTGGATCCTAAGAGTTAGCACCTTGGAGATAGATACCAGGGTCCTGAGCCCGTTCCTCCTCCAACCATCCTGGAGACTTTGAACCTACTACCTACTAGGACCAAAATGATTCTACACCCTACTGCCCACCTCAGCACCCACCATCTCCTGACCAACACGAAGCTTTCGAGGGGCTGGACATGAACCCTATGAGAGCCAGGAAGCAGCATGGGCTGGTCCTGGGCCATGACAATGCTCCTGGCATTTCAGAATGGACCACAGGAGCAGCTGGATGGGGCACATCGAAGAGAGCCCATCAGGACTGGCTCCAACTCTGGTGTGCTGCTGTTTGTGATCTCTGGGGTGTGAGACCCCGAGACCCTCCCGGTTGAGGGGGACATGACAAGTGTGTTGTCCTGCCCTCAGGCCTGTTCTTCTGGGACCTGCTGCTTATTCCACAGGGCCTAGCAGAGGCCCCGGAGGGCCAAACATCTCAGGGCAAATAAACAGTAAGGACAGGGGTTCAAGAGGGGAGAAGCAGTTGGGTTCAGACTTCAGGGTCGCTTTCGCCCTTCTCTGTCCGCCCAGCTGTGGCTCACTCACCTGTAGTTGGTGCTCCTTATAGGCACCCAGGTGTAGTTCCGAATCACCTCATCTATGTACCTCTGGGAGAGGAGGCTGCGTCAGGTTCTTGGGTGAGCAGGCCGGGGTGGGGAGGTAGGGATGGGTGCCCATTCTGATGCCCTTGTTCCCCATCCTGTGCCTTCATACCTCATCCAGGGACTTGACCAATGTTCTGATCTGCTTGTGGCCCTTGTTGCCATCAATCATGCTGCGACGGATCTGCAAGGGCCAAAGGTGTGAACCCTCTGCTCCTGTGCCAGCCATCCCCTTCTCCTCCCCGCCTTCATCTCACCTCCTCCTTGTTTTCATCTTCTAGCTCTGCATCCAGAAAGTCCAGGGTCACAGGCTCCCGGAAGTTGGTAGTCTACGGGAAGCCAGACAGGAAATCAGGAGTCCTCACCTTGGAGGGTTTACGTGCCCTCCGGGGCCACCCGCTTGGCTCACCTGGGGCTTGAGATTGGGATGTAGCAACACATAGCCGTTCAGGTCGATGGCGAACACATAGCCATTGGCGCCAAGCTGTGGGGTACGGATTGGGGGCTCAGAGGGCCGCACCGGGGTTTCCTAAACTCTGAGCTGTTCTCTAGTCTGTTTCCCACACTGCTTGCCAAAGATTCCCCTCCTGCCATATGTCCCTAAGTCTGCCTTTGGATCCAGGACTTGCAGTTGGCGTCGCTCACACACCAGCCCCCACCAAGGGTCGTCTGGCCCTGTAGGTAGGCATTCTTCTTGGCCCATGGAGGGACCAGCCAGCCCTACTTGTGCACCTGCGCGAGGCCCACAGGGCTGCTGCTTTTGTGCCACTGTGGCTCTCTTGTACCCACTGCTTTCTCAAATCATGCTTTCCTGTCCCCGTTTCAGTGGCATCGTACAGGAAGGAGAGATTCTTGGGATCCCACAGGCCATGTGGAAAGCAAGCAGGAGGGAGTGGGACCCAGGGGCGAGGCTGTCATACCTTTCCCACGTCCCCTTGCTTTCATAGCTGAGACCCAAGCTCTCTAACTATGGGCTCCGATTAGTCAAACTGCTATCCCCTCCCTTCCCCAATTCCAGATTCTGCCTTTCGGGCATTTGTCTGGAAGAGTTCCCTCTGTTTCTCTGGCCTGCTACCTGTTGCTATAATTTGGCTGTGGGCCTCAAATGGATTCTTTCTATCTATCTATCTATCTATCTATCTATCTATCTATCTATCTATCTATCTATCTATGAGACAGGATCTCTCCGTGTAGCCCTGGCTGTCCTGGAACTCGTTCTGTAGACCAAGCTGGCCTTGAACTCAGAGATCCATCTGCCTCTGTCTCCCCAGTGCTGGGATTAAAGGCATGTGCCACCATCAGCCAGTGTTTTTTTTAATTTTTTTTTAAGATTTGTTTATTATATATAACAGTGCTCTGCCTGCATGTACACCTGCACACCAGAAGAGGGCACCAGATCTCACTATAGATGGTTATAAGCCACCGAGTGGTTGCTGGGACTTGAACTCAGAGCCTTTGGAAGAACAGTCTGTGCTCTTAACCTCTGAGCCATCTCTCCAGCCCCGAACCAGTGGGTTTTATGTTTTTAAAATTAAAAAAAAAAAAAAAAAATCAAAGAATTGGAGAGATGGCTTAGCAGGTGAAAGCACTGACTGCTCTTCTAGAGACCTGGGTTTGATTCCCAGCATCCACACAATGGCTCACAAACACCTGTAACTCTAGCTCCAGGGGATCCAGTGTCCTCTTCTGGAATCCAGAGGAATCAGGCACAGACAAACATGCAAGCAAAAATATCTACATACATTGAATTTTTAGAAAATTAAAATAATTATTTTATGATGTGAAATTATATTAGTATCTACAAATAAAATGTTATAGGCCATCAGGAATGGTGGCACACACCTTTAATCTCAGCACTTGGGAGGCAGAGGTAGGCAGGCCTCTGGGAGTTCAAGGACAGCCTGGTCTACGTAGTTAATTCCAGGATAGCCAGAACTATGTAGAAAGACCCTATCTCAAAAATAAATAAATAAATAAATAAATAAATAAATAAATAAATAAATAAATAAA